TGCTGCAAACATCCCAGAACTGGAGGGTGGTGCACAAGGAGAAAAAAATAAGGAAAAAGGTTGTCTCCTTTTACACCTGGCATTAACAGGCATCTTGTATCTGAATTATTTTGTCTCAGTGTAATTTGGCTGAATGACATCTGGATTTGCATCAAGCATTTAAATGAATCTTTAGTATAGATGATGAAATACTGTGCTCTGATTAACATGTGTGCTCACATGTTCCTCATCCTGATACTCAATTGTTGACAAGGAACTTCTAATTTCCTACAATTTCAACTATGTCAAGCTAGTGCGTTTTTAAACAATGTGTAAAAGCAAAAAGAAACCCTACACATGCTTTACCTTTGCAGCACGCACTGCCTTGACCTTGATAAGCATGTCCAGGAAAGCTGTGCGGACTTTCTCCGAGTTGTCATGAAGGCTGTACTTGAGAGTGGGCAGGAGTTTTTCAATCAGTGGATGGCTGAGAGCGTTGTCCAGGACGATAGTCAGACACTGGGGAAAGCATTATACAAACCACAAGTCATTAAATATCCTGTTTACTGCCAATAACACCAATCGTGCTAATTCTGCCTGCAGTGACAATAACCTCCCTTAATTTGGTTTCACACAACGCTTGGACAAGAATTCCTGATTACTTTAACTCTTTACTCAACTTGTCCTGACCTTAGATCTTGGAAAAGATCTTGGGTTAGGATCCTACCTTGAAGACTGAACAACGGACATCAGGGGAGCTGGTGTCAGCCGCCAGCTCCATCACCAGCTTCTTCAGGAAGTCTGTGATAATTGTCGGAGGGAGAAGCTCCCAGCACTTAGCCAGGATCTTACAGACCCCCAGGGTGGCATTGGAGCGCACAGTAGGGTGAGGGTCATCGAGGAGGCCCTGTGGATGACAGACAGGTGGTGGTTTTAGTTTCTCAAACTCACAGCAAAAAGTAAGTAGTTGAATGGATTGAACGGCTCTGACCATTGATGTGTCCAGCTGCATTTGAATGTTCTCATCTATAGTCTCGTTGCTCTGATCCGGGTCATGGAGTGGGAAGGCCTCAGTGAAGAGCAAAGTGGCATTTGCACGTACCTCAAAGTTAGGAGCCTGAACAAATCAAACAGAAACACGTTAAAATAAAATACAGAGATGCTAGTATGACTGTATTTTAAAATCTGTATGCATACCCTTAAAGCTTTCCAGAGAATGGGCCTGTAGAGATTATAGACCATCTTGTCCACTTTCTGACAGCCCTTCCTTGTGTGGAAATAGCTCACAATCTGTAAACAAGAGCAAGGAGATCAAAGATTAAACACACAGTGTACGATGCACATAATGACTGTAAATATGGGGGGAAAATATATTTAAAGCAGCGGGGTAATAAATCTACCTGTCGGACTTTGGCGTGGACAGGAGATGCTCTATGAAGGAAGATGGCACATTGCATAAAATCCTGAATGCACAAGCTCTCAATCTGCTCCAAGAAGTCCTCGCTAGCTTTCTTCCATGCTCTGAAGTAGACCTCCGAAATGTGAGCAGTCATGGTCCTGAACAAAAACAAGTTAATTGGTATTAACATGGAGAGAAAATGAACTTCTGTCAAACAGAGTAGGTAGTAGGCTTCTTACTTGCTATAAAACTCCAGCTGGTTTTTTATGGTGCCATGAATAACCCAGATGAAGTTGACGTTCCAGCTGAAAAGAAACACCAGGAATCGCTTCCCCTGTGATAGCATACACATAATCAGGCTGACAGCTCAGAGAAAAAGCTTCAAGAAAAAAATCAAAACAAACAGAGACAATGACTCATGCAAATACACACTGCAGCTAAATATCATTCTACTCACATCCTCATTCCTTAAGTAAATAGGACGGTGAAAACACTGAAGCAACAAGTCAATTATCTGCTTGTTGTCTTCTGATGTGTAGTCCAGACTCAAGAGCACATCATGGAGACTCCAGAGTCTTTGGATCTCAACACCCTGTCAATAGACACAAGATGAAAGTGTTATACATAAATGATATCAGGCCCCTAAACCCCATGTCTGTTTTAAGCTATTAGTGTTCAACAGATACTTGGGGAATGTTTATGAGACGATATTGCTTATAATTTCATGGGAAAAACCTAGCGGTAGATTATACAATAGAGTTTAATGATGAAAATATATCCTTAAGGCCCAATATTGTCTGATGTGACATATGGCTGAGGTCATATACTGACCGGTTTCTTCAAAATGAAGCTCTTCTGCAAAGAGATGAGAAAAGCAGTTCGACCAAACTTTTCTTTCTCTTTCAACCCCTTCTTCCACCAGGCTTCGCACAGTGTGTGGATATGGAGCTGCAGAGGTGCCTCTGAGACAGGCAGTGACACCAGAACAACTGAGGGAAAGACACAATCCGAGACTAATTTCATGTAGTGCAAGATAATGTAGGACAGCACATAGCAGAGAGAAAAATGAGCAAGAACACCCACCATGAAGTTTGTGGACAATTTCCAGAAGGGTACTGTAGGTGTCACCATCTTGTAAAACCTTTACAGACAATAACGCCACTAGTGCCACGCCATCCACAACAGCCATGACATGTTTCTGAAGGAAAAGTTAATAGGGAGATGTTCACAAAAATGTTTTTAAAAAAGTATTGTATGCAAACAAAACTATGTGGTTTGTGGTTCGTGCAATAAAATCTAAAATATGATAGAGCAAAAAAGAACAAAAAAAATAGGACTGCTTTGCACGCTCCTTGTTTGTATATTTCTGTAACTGTACATATGATGACTGATAAACTAACAGGGTCTTGAGCTGACTCCACTTCCATGCCCTCCTCTCTGTTCTCCTCCCAGCGCTCAGGAGGTAACTCCTGCAGGACGTCCTGAAGGAGTGAGGCCAGTTTTGCCCACAGAGCCTCCCTCTGGTGTCTGGGCATCTCCTGCACCACTTCCTCCACATCGAAGGGCTCCGCTTTGTTCTTCTGCTCAACAATACAGACAGGAGGGGGGCAGAAACAACTTGAGACATAAAGCACAAACATCAGTTCTGACAGTTAAAAACATTCTATACTTTTCATTCTCAGTAGTAGATGACTGAAAAATCTGTTCCACTTTTCATAACCTGTCACTGGGTAAAAATACCAAATCATTTCTGACAACAAATGCAGAATAAGTGATTCACACATCACTTTGGGCTCTAGTAACATGTGCGTCCTTTTTTGCATCTTCTAAACTAAATTAGTCAATTAAACAAAGAACATAGCAACTGCTATTTTCAGAAAGTTATATGTAATGGCATTTAAGAATAAATTCCCAAATTATGTCATTATCAGTGTTTGAGACTCGACTTTAAACTCCAATTTCCTAGTTTTTAGAAGTACTACAAACAATACAAAGTATTATATACACCTGAAATTAGATGCTATCTTAATATGATTGCAACAGTCAAGTCAGTTAAACACAAGAGCCCTGGAAAATAAATCATGAAGATTATAATACAAAAAAGTGTTGGTGTTGGTGCTTTCTGGAAGCTGGAGTTCCTGGTGCCTTTGAATTGTATAGCGTTAAACTTAAAAGTGTGTCTAGATTATTTCTCAAGTATTACGTTTTAGCGCAAGGCCTCCCAAAATGCAAAATTGAAAATGAACCTACGGCACAATCTGATACGCACTTAGGATATTCCTGAAGGAGGTGAACACTTTGATATTATCTTATGTGAATTCACTTACGTGAAGCTGGATGAAATGAAAGAAGTCCTCCACATTTTCTTTACAAGCGGCTTCTAAAAATGCCTCTCGCTTGGACATAGTTTCGGTTTTCGGTGTGAAAATTTGAAGTAAACCTACGATGAAAAAACAAAGTCACGTTAAATACTATGTATGCTATTTTGGCGTTAACTCTCCGGCGTACTTGTTAACAGCACCAAAACAAACATGGCAGTCCGGTTGCCGTTAGCGTTTAAAGTGTTATTAGCGAAAGTTTATCCAACTCCGTCCGTTGTTACTGGAAGTATTATGCCTTCCAATTATGAAAGTAAGATATGTAACAATAGCTTCATCTGTTACCTTTTTACTTTTAATTTCGTGAGCCAGAAAAAGCCAAATGACAACCACCCATAACAACCCCGAACCCGCGCAAATTTGGATAAAGTCGATTCCGTGCGTCATGACGTCGTGCGTCATTTTTTTACCCCGAAGACGTTTAGTTGTAGTTCGCTTCTTCTGCCACTCGATGGCGACAAATCACTGCATATGTTCTATGTTATCAGGTTATATGGGATGAGGCTACAGAACGGGGTTTCTTTACCAGGGCTCCAAGTCTCCACGATGGCGTTATAGTTGTACACGTGATTTTAGTTTTCTATAGGAAATCTCTCTCAATGATTACACCCCAATCCTCAAGGGTAATTATGCTGCAAGGTCAAATGAATCGTTTTGCTCAAGGGCACTTCAGCGCCACACCTACCAGAATACCCATACATAACATGCAATAAACATAATATGCAATAGTTCAGGCAAATTATGTTTGTTGATACAATCCCTGCAGCAAACATACATTAAAAAAAGAAGTCTTTCTTCAAATGTTAATGCACTGTTATCTTGAACCTAAAAAATAGAGGAAGAAAAAACACTTGAAATGTGAAATGTGCATGTACTAAATCAGCGCTTATCCCCTTTGCCAACTGTTAAACATGGGGTAGGAAATAATAATGGGTTGTGTGGCAGCCAGTGGCACCACAAACATAACATTTGAAGAAAGGTTTATCTGTTATCTAGTTATCTGTTAGGTATATCTTATCTGTTTGCAGTACTGTTGTATTTACTTCTTTTCACCTCAAAAATCAACAAATTTTGTAATTTGCCCAGGGCAACTGCATATTTACATTTAATTTGTCAAATCAGTCATCGTTGCTGGACCAAAGGACCAACCAATAAAAACAAGCAAGACGATTTTCAGAAGAGAAACCATTTATTCTTCAAAAGCCATGAGGCATCATATCATTCAAAATAATAAGGTTAAGAAGGCAAAAATTACATAGTGGGTCTTTTTAAGGCACAGGATAGATAACAAGAAAAATATTTAAAAGCTCCAACAAACAGTTATAACTGCATGGCAAAACATGTGCAAGCCTATGACACAGCTGTGCCATCTTAATTCTGGCGGTCCTGCTCATAAAATACAATAATTGTTGTCTCTTTTCATTTTTTTTACTTTGCTAAACTCACATTTGGTTTGAACAACAAACCCTCATTCAAGTATCCTTTTGATCAAATTATACAGCACTTGTTCATAGCCCTAAAATGCCCCCAGATCTTCAGTATCTGAGACAATGTTCAGAACAACCAATATTGCACAAGGTCCTCTTAAAATATACAGAGCAATCATTTTATTCTCTGCATATATGCATTCCATGTTTGTAATCAAGCATAAAGAACAATAAGAGGTAAACAATCAAATAACACTCCATAACAAAAAATATCAAAGTCAAGACTGCTACTTATGCCTACTTTTGTGATTGTATCTGTTCCTTTGGTAAGAGTTTTCTCACATGACAAAAACAGAATTTGTCACATTTTAACAAACCAGACAGAAAGCAATAACAGTTTTGACAGATTTCAACACCATTTCCTTTAAGGAAATATAATGTCAGGAAAACCCCTGCAAATTCTCCTAACTATGAATTAGCAACTTGATATTTACATAAAACACTGAAAACAAAGACAAGGCAGTCAGTGTGTTTCACTACAGTATGTTGAAGTATGTTCCAATCGTGATCAATAATGAAATAAAAACAGGAAATGTTTGAAAAACCTGTGTGCTGAAATAATACCTGTAAACTACATGAAAAATATAAATGAAAAAAACAAAATGATGTGCCCTTATATTAATGAGATCACTATATTACAGCAGAAAGGATGTTTCACTATGTGAGGAGGGGGTCTTGAATCCTTGTTATGCCTTGAGATGACAATCCATCTTCACTCAAATCATACCTGCAAGAGAAAACAAAAAGATTATCTATTTAAGCACTAAAACAGGTTGTTTATTACATGAAGAAAACACTGGATATTGCACAGGGCAAAGATAAAACACAAGTTTACCATTGTGTCCATCCTCTGGATATATCCTCCCCACTTAAATCTACCAGCACCTGCAATTTTGAACAAAAAGTGAGAAAGAAATTAAGTTTTCAGAGTACTTGGGGCTGGCTCTGCTGCTAGAAAATACTCATAATAAGAGCCAGAAACAAGAACCTTTCCCAAGAGCCCCTTGTGTTTGGACAGGATGCTCCCTCCGTTCTTCACTGCTACATCCAGAGTTCGCCTGTGGAGCTCCACAATAGACACAGTAAACTCAAACCTACAAACACACACAAGTACACACACATTTTATGACACCAATCTATCATTTAATAATTAATCAAATTGAAATAGCTGAAACTGTTACTTTGATAAATTGTTAATTTGAATAATTGTTTTGGTACTAAATTGGTTGACTTAAAAGAAGGCTGGCAAATCCTCCTCTCAAGGCCTTATCAGGTTGAAGAAGGCGCTTATCCAAGAGCACAATTAGCTCTGATGTTAAATTCATGAGGCAGGAGATTTTGTTGGCGCTTTGGAGCCCTATAACTCAACTGTAAACAAAAGTGTCCAACGACTAACACTGACTGCACTTGATATGACTGTAGTGGCCATGGTTTCACTGATAACAGACTTTGGTTAATTATTGATTACTAAGAAAAATGCTGTCATATTGTAAAATTAAAAAAAAAATGACATAATATATTCCACAGCTGCAACTTTTTTGGCATCAATGTGGCTTGTGATCTTAATGTCCTTAAGAAAATCCTTAAGACACCAAAGTAGCTCCTGAGGTGTCTGAAAACAGAGTCAGATATCAAATGAATTCAAACTACAGACTGGTTCAATAAATGGTTGAAGCATCGCTAAACCTTTAAACATCTGAGAACAGAACACATTTGTAAAGTCCAACAATAATAGCACACATCTGAATGCTAATGAATAATCTTTAAACTAGTGACCGTGACAAGCATATTAAGCTAGTATTTCTCTCTATACCCACGTTTGATCATAAACAGGGTTAAGGGTCCTCTTCATTGTGCTGGTCTTCCTCCTCCCTGTCCGGCTCTTGTCAGGCAGCAAATAGAGACGGATGAAGGGATCCGAGCCGTCTTTGGTGAAGGCTATCAAGTTACTGAGGACACACAGGACAAAACTGGTTTCGCGCACGTGTTGCCAGGCACATGTTGTTCAGATTAATGATGCCTATTCATTCTTAAATCTATAGTATAGTTCCACACAGAAGCAAGATGGTGCATGCTAAAGAATCTCTACCCACAAATCATAATTTAGGCCAGAGGCTTGAGCTAAAAACAAAGGACAGAAGTGGTGTATCATTCAAAGCAAAAAGTGTATGATGGAGGTTGTGGACCTCACCGGCAGGCGTGCACCACCACAATGAGTTTGTTCCTCTGGCAGCTGTGCCGAACAGTCAGCTGGACCTCACCCAGGGGGTACTGGCTGGGGGCCGACCCACTATAAACACATCAGAGTCAGTCAGTGTCACTTCCAGACATTGCAGCTGAATTTATACAGAAGATGTGCACATCAATGTATGCAGGGATAGATGGATAGCCTCACAGGCAGTTAGATGAAATATTAATATGGGTACATATTCAAACAAATCAAGATGACACTCTATCAGAGGAAAATGCAGAATTTAAATTAAGTGAAAAACAGAACAGAAATGAGGCACGTAAAAGCCGGAAAAGAAATTAAGAAATGTAAAGCAATACATCAGAAAATAAGATATCATATCTGCCATTTACTTCTGCAGCTGACGAAGCCTTTGCTGAAGCTCCAAAGTGGCAAAGGGTAGGGAGATGTCCGAGGCCAGGCTGGGTGTGGACTCATTATGAGGCAGGTGTTTCTGGGAACTGGACATGCAGGTGCTCAGGTTGGAGGTACTGCGAAGAGGGCTGGCTGAGTACGGCTCGCCGTCCCTGTGTTGGAGGGTAAGCGTGGAAGCGTCTATAGGTGGTGGAGGTGTGGGTGGAGGTAGCGGGGAATCTGAGGCTGACCGTTTCTGGCATGGGGCTGTGGTTGGCTGCGGCACGCTGGATTTCCTGACCTGGACGGAGGAAGGCTGGTCTGAGGACACCTGCTTCTCAAGGGACAGAATCTAAGGAAAGACGAATCAGGACATTACTGAATGAAATGAATAACAAGAACTAAAGCCAAGTACTAGAATAACATGCTGTGTATGTTTTAACTTTCTTATCTTTTAAAGGGGATTTGCTTAATTTGGTGGTTTTACATACAGTCCTCTGATTTGTTAAACTTATCCTCAAGATTAATCCTTTCTTGTAAAGTGGTCTTAATACTGCTGATGTGAAACCTATCAGATATTTTCAAGGGTGTTTTTAAAGCACCTCAGCCAAATCTGTCTTTATAGCGCTATCTGTCTTTCTAAAATGTCTCCAAAAGGTCCCTGATCCTTTAAAGCTGTTTCCTTTTTATAATATCTGTTATGAATCCTGATATGTCTGATAGGCTGTGTTCCAATACAGAAAGCTATTTCAGAGGACGTCAATATTTTTGTTGCAGCTGCATTCATCTTTTTTTATTTGATCAGTTGTGATTCAATACAAGATAATGCGCTTAGTTTCAGTTCAATGAATACCAAGGCAATTTACTTGCCCCACCAACCTGGTTATTGGTTTTTATGGATTTACAGTAATTGAACTTATGGCATGAAGAGGAATTTAAATATTAGCATGATAATTTCATGTAATTGCAAGGCACCTTAATGAAACGAGTGAACGTTACGAACGGAGTTGGACAATATACATTTGCTTTAAAAGCCAACAACTTCACCTTTTCACAGCAATGCGACCACTGCAATCAACTTTTTGCTAAACCCCTCCCCTCCAAAAGTGATTGTCCAGTCATAGCTTAGCAACTGAATTAAACTCAATGAATTAGGCTTTGGATTTCATCAGTTGTTGAAATATGAGCAATGCTGTGCATGTGAAGAGTTTGGGAGGTAGTGTTTTTTTTTTTTGTCTTTTCAAAACCTAAAGCACAAGAACCAAAGTGTGAGGAATGGATTAAAATGGTGTGTTTATAACGCACAATTAGCATGTCCAGCTAACTAGCTGAATATTTACAGTAGCTAGAAGGGAGCCTTACTCAGAAGGCCAAGGAGTATATCATTTACTAATTATGTGAAGTTACACAATGTGGTAAAAAAAAAGAACAGTTGTAACACGCACAGCCACTAATTTGTATTTCTTCACTGTGTGATAACCAGTTTGAGTTTCGTGGTAACATTAGCAGCTATGTTCACTCTTTATTGGATTTGAGCAAGTCTACAATCCAACCACCCCATTCAACAGAGGCTGTTATGAATTCAATCAATAATTTTCAGTTTATTATTGGCACTGCAATACTTTCTTCACCGCAGCAATTATTTCAGATGTGCAACTCGTTACATGCCTTCTCATAATAATTTCTGTTTGAATTAGCAGAACATAATGCACAGAGGATGAGTGGGAAGTGAAGCAGCATTTTACCCTCAAGGCCATTTTAAGTTTGATGGTGGAGCTGGGCCCGGAGTTCCTGAGAGGAAAGTACTGAGTCAGCGTCATGTCCTCCTCCACCAACAGTCTGCTCAAAGGCACCGTCAAGTTACCCAGAGTGCATTTGTGCTTGTCATCTTTTACCTGTGCATTAAGAGAGAAGAAGATCTGACAAGTCAGCAGCTTCCACTATTTGGAGCATGTTCTTATAAAAAATACATGTCATTATGTGTCATTATGCAGCATTACCTCCACTTCGAGCTCCTGCCTCCTGGGGTTGTGAACAAGGAATGAGAAACAGTCTTCCCACAGAGGCTCCTTGGTCTTGTACCGGATCTTTAAAGGCAGACAGGTTTGTTAGTTGTTATTTAAAGCACTTGAGAAATCTGTCAGGGGTACTGTCAGTCATTAGAAAGTGCTGTATTTTGAATTTTGAAAATCAATGATAAGGCACTAACTCTGTAGGCATGCCACTACTCTCATATTTTCCGGTCTACATATTTACATACAGTTTGGCCTACTGCTGCACACCTTATAAAGAGTATCTACTTTTATTTAGATTCTTTCGTATTTTAACTTGATTTATTTCAACATTTTAGTTCTTATAGAAGTTCTTCTTTGTACAATAATACTGTTTAAAACTTATAATTAACGCTGTTGATAATTAGCGTCTCATAATCTACTATTTCATGTGTCAATTAGCCGGTTTCCCTGCAAGATTTGTTTCCACTGAGAAGCAGTTAGAACACTGATAGGTTTCTTAATTGTTTTTGCTGTATACAAATTAGATTTTAAATGAGGCAATGAATGGGAGCATTAAAGGTCCAGGTCCGTATTCAGTAAACAGTGTAGGTCTGACACCACTTTTCATACATACAGTGGTCTCCCAGTTTTAGGTCATTGCAGAAGAACAGCAGTCTTTAACATAGTAAACTGTAAGTAAGTGACTGAGGATTTTTCATGGTCAAACAGTTGACTGTTTGTAACTGGCCAAATGAACATGTGTTGTCTTGCAGAAGAGCAGGCTGAAAGCAAAAAGCCACAGTAACAAATAAAAAATGAAGATGTCTGCAGTACATGCCTAGGACAACATAACAAGAGAACAAAGACTTCATAACCACATACACAGGTGTAACTTATTCTACTTGATTAGACTTGTTCTCTGGGCTGAGTGGGGACACATCATTCAGACTGAAAGTTTGATTACATCACACAATTACCAACATAGCCCCACCTAACTGTAACCTGTGTAGAGGTCTAATCAGCCAGAGAATTGAAAACACCTGTGAAGGTGTGCTGGGCTTTAAAATATGGCAATTTCATTCAACCCTAATGTTGACCCTGCAAAAGTTTATAAAAGCTCAATAGTACCAACTTTAACAGCTTGACAACTCATGACTTTTACTAATCTATGAGAATTGCTTTTAAACATGATTTTGAACTGGTTACAATATATATATACATATATATATATATGTATATATATATATATATATATGTATATATATATAACGTCAGCGTCAAAGTCAACAGGTTACCATTTCAATACTTTTCTATATATTGGATTTTAATAAGGTCAGAACAGACAAAAATATATGCAACAAAAACTTGGTTGATCTTGCAGTTAATGTTAATACTGTTACACATTCAGCATTGGAGTCTGTGGAACCCCAAACAAGGATGAATTAAAGCAAAAGTCAGGGAAACACAAAGCCTATGTATATATGCTAATTTGCTCAAATTCTTTCTTCCATCTAAAATTTGGAAACATGCAATAAAATCCATTCTACCTGATGTGGATCTAGGCATAATCAAATAAAAGCTGAGAATCGTTTCCTTGTTTCATTGTTTCATTTGAAATCCAGGAGACCACAGCCAATTTAACTAAAATATATTACTGGGCAAACTGCAAAAGGGGTCTAAGGTAACAAGCCTCCCTGAAACCATCATATGCTTACAGCAAAACTCCAGCATCAGCAATAACTTGGTCTACTGTAGTGTTTATTCCTCCTGAATAATTTCCCTTTTGAACTCGACACAGAAATTTCTCATAAGAAATGGTTGGTATACACATTTAATGTCAGCCTAGAAGCGCTTTAGCTGAGACTTAACGGTTTAATGGTAGGTGGTTGTAATTCCTCATCTTATTTGCTTGTACGACCATTTTTAGTTCATCTTTCTTTTTTAATTCCATGGTCAGGGGGAAGTGCTCTATAACAGAAAGCTCCAGGGAGAGACAGGTAAAGAGCAATTGGTGTTGTTTAGGCTTTAATATGTCATCGTGTGTGAATGAATGTGAGGTAAAGTCTAGTTAAAATAACTGCTACATTCAATCTTTGGTTGTCCAAATGCTTTTTACAACTTCAAAAATAGGAAGAAAAAAATCGCCAGCAGTGATCCATTTCTTCTTTTTCTCAAATTGATACATGGAGTACAAAGCTAAGACAAAATAAGGACAAGATAATCATACTAATGGATGCTTATAGGACTCACCTTACTCTCAAGTGTTTTGTGTCCAACAGTGAATTGGACGTGAGGGCTCGGCTCAGTGCTGCTCTTCTTTGCAGCCTGCTATAGAGTCAGAGAGAGATGTGTTAGCCGATTCTCCTCACTGTGACACACGAGGGATAACCGTCAGTAATGGACAACACAATTACACCCAGACTCAAACACTAGCGTCTTGAGACCCTGTATCAAGCGCACCATGGTGAAAGAGTGTGTAGCTCAAAAGGGAAGGAACATTACCATATGTTTTGACAAGCAGGGCTGCAAGCAGAGAGGCTACCAAGGGGATTGCCAAGCGTTGTCTCCTCTGCAGTCTAATTTTAGTATGCTGGGTTGTGACAGCTAAGTATTATTCGGTATTCCTTGCAGAATAATAATGCCCTACTCTAAAAGCCAGCAGCTATGACAATGGTGGGAAAGTCTTAACTTAATTCTTAACCCATCCTTTCACTTGAGGATAGTGCTTAAATTTGACATCTATTTCTCAACATTAGAATTAAGATCCACATTTTAAATGCACTTAGCACAAAAATATCAAAATACATAGACTTTCACATTATAGATATCATATATGTTTGTATTTAAGGTGCTAAAATACCTTTCTGTTGGCATTTCCAATAAGGAAAAGATTTTTATAGTTAGTGGGCAGGGGAAGTTTTAGAGCAGGCGATCAAATCTTTTCTGAGGATAGGAAAAACATGACCCAAGACTGTTTGTACACCCCTGAGGAAATGGTCATAGGTCAAATGCAGCCAATCGGATTTTGAATCTAGCGACTCTAGACTTTCACTAAGGTATAAAGGTAAATATTGGAGATGTGAAATATTTCCTGCCAGGGATATGGTGTTTAAAGTAACATAGACTTGTCTGTTTTCCACACTTTTGAAAAAATTGGTGCCTAATCCCAAGTATAGAAATGTATTTGGATCAGTAAAATGCAACATTTGTGGTTGGAAAAAGTCTGCAAAAGTTCAAAAGTGTTTGCTGATTCCTCCTCACGATATGACTCTTATATTTCCTTCACTCTGTGGTGGTGAAGTGATGGCAACAGACCTACAAGAAGACTTTATCACAGGTAAGCTGCATTTCAGACTTCCAAACCTTTTTTCAGTACAGACAAACCGAAGGAAAAACTGCTGCACATTTGTCAGAGACAAAGCAGGTTTATATTTAACAGGATAAAAAAAAGGCAGCAGCTAGTTAATGCCAAATAAAACCCACACATGATGCAGATGGCGCAAACTAGTTTCACTGTCACATTTTAGACTAATATTGCACTGAGGGAGTGCCGCCGTGTGTGACAATGGGAGGCTTGAAACTTCTTGGAAAGGTTAAAGGCACGAAACCACTCGTGGTAACTGGAATGCAGCAGTTGATTTCTGAGTAATAGTGTTTGTAACCTGAGACTGTGCTTGGTTACGAACAGCTTTGTTGTAATGCAGTATAACACCTACTAATGTGACTACTAAACAAGGTAATCATAGTTGTTATGACAGTGGTTAACAGGCCTAAAGCAGGAACATTCATTGTTTCTACCTCTGCCTGCCTCTTCCCAGCTGTAATAAAGTGTATGTTAAGTATGTAAAATGTAAAGTTTTCTCATGTTATGATGCCACCCTCAGTGCCTATTATATCTGTACATTTATCTGGCAAACAGTAGGGTCCAAAAGTCTTAGACCACTAAAGTAGTCTCAGACTTTCTCAGACATGATCACCTTCTACATCTAGTTACGCAGGTTCAGTTGCTGTTTGCTGCTGAAAACCTTTGGCCCAGTTCAACTCCAGTAAAAATACAAATGCTCCAAAATGGCCACAGTTTCAATCAACCATAAAGATTGAATATGATTACTTTAGACATATTTGAGTGCAACATTAGACTTTTGCATGCACGATCACATGAGCTGGGAAAATCATGAATCATTCCAAATAAGAAGAAAGAGGCGTTCAGCACAACAAAGGCATAAAGAAGACAATGCAATCATCCATCATGGTGCACATTTTTCGAAAAGGACAATTCTCTCCGCTTGTTTGATCACATCACAATCACATGACGTTGGACAGTGCATTTGAGGGCCAGCAAAGAGGAGACACAGATGAGACACAGGGTGTAATTTGCACATGCAGTCCATTTTTCCCACATTACCTTCAGCGCCTTAAAGACTGAGACTTGCTTCAACCCGTCATAGGTGAAATCTGACAGGTTGCTCTTTAAGCCACAAGGAGATTTTGGGGAGAAAATCACACCCATAGTTAGTAGGACAGGAGTGACTTGGCATGAGCCATGAGAAACACCTAGAAAAATATGTTGAATATGTAAAATATACTGAAACATGAATAGTATGGGTAATAAAGAAAAAGTAGTTTAATGGATGATATTGTTGACACTGCAGGGAGCTCACGAGGAAAACACAGGTCAGAATAATGAGGGTATTTCGAACAGGGAAGACTTGGAAGTACTAGTTTGAGAGACAGTTTGACTTTTTAACAAGCTAAGGGCTTTCTGTATCTGTACAGTCAAACTCTAATTGGCCCACTAATACAGACAGAGATCATTATGAACTCTGCCAGCTCTTTGTAGATAATATTTCAGCCTTGAACTAAGCAACTGATTTAGCAGAATATGCATCTGCATACCAAGCAGGCGTAGCTGTTTGCCTGGCTGAGTCCTCTGTTTTGAATGTCTGCTTCATGTTAATGGTTATTGGAGACTTTTTTATTAGACATTACAGTAAAAACCGTGCAGCTAACACATGCTTTAAGATGCACGTTTTAAGGACTCCTGTTACTGTTCAATCCACATCATTGCACACAGCTAATGATAACACCATCAGGATGCAAAAGCTCTGGTGGACTCACACATATAGTTCTATACTCTGAAGTATTGCTCTCACAAAAGACTAGGCCAGATGCTCTCCTCTCACTTAAGTTTCCACAGCCTAAGCTGCCAGTGAAGACACTCTTGGGTGAAGAGGAAAAAGAGAATAAAGAAAAGAAAGTGGAGTTATGATGACTGGGATGGCAGAAAAAATCAATTTGAGATAAATGTTGAAATATTGTTTAGATATTGAGCTGAAGGACTCCAGATTCTTTACAGGGTACGAGTGAGCTTTATGACCCGTATGCAATGACAGCTTTTCAAACATCATTTGATGAACATAAAAATGCACAAATTTTTCCTAGGCTGTTGAAAAGTAGAGGTTTCAAGGTTCAGGGTTCTTGTCTGACAACAACTATGAAAATTTTGGTATGAGACACAATCTCTGAGCACAAATGACTTGATTATATAACTTGCTAAAGACCATAGTGACCCATTTGGCGCTATATGCTACATCTATAATGCACAGCTGTTCCCTTGGGAGTAGCTAGAATAATATTAGAGGGTAGAGGATAGTAATGTAACAACCTGCCCTGGTTGTTGGTTGGTTCACAGTGAAAACCACATTTCAAAGAACATAAACAGCTAATTGATGAAGTGACTCAGCATTGCTGCACATTGACCAATAATCCTTATTCAAACAAGAGTGCTGCACTGGAATTTCTTACTAAACTGGTTCAGAGTGTTGCTAAATGCAGTGTGTATGTTCCGGGTGGATAACAAGAAGGCTACATAAGCCTAATGCTATATTACAGCACAAGTGCTTAAGGAATTACATAAGGCTACAGCATCACAACAATAGCATTGCAAAATTAAAATTGAGTGAACATTGCAGTATCTTACTGGCAGGTTCTTTGCCGAGTCCAGATAGATCACCAGCAGTGCTGACGACAGCCCGTCATTGGCCAGGCTTCTGTCTGCGCGCACACTGCGCAACACCTGATTGGACAAGAAGGACAAAATAGGCAGTCACCACAGATAATGATTACTGGCATGCATCAGTAGCAAATGCATAACAGTGACATGCTTCTACTGTTCTGTTGAAGTAGTAGTGGTCGTAGAAAGTTTTTTCTTTTTCAATACTGTACCTGATCCAACTTCTCATTAGTGGAAAGCAGAGACAGCCACTCTAGTTTTAAGTGCAGCTTCCCAGTAGGCGTTTCTTCCAGGTCAAACCACTGGAATAATGTGACAAAAATCATTAAGGGAACCAAACCATTCTTTTCTGGCTTGAAAATTGGGGAAATATGAAACCAGCAGCCAGTAGACTAAAGAATAGAAACAGGGAGCGGGCAGCCTGGTTGATGTAGCATGTTCATTAGCGAGCTTTACAGCTGCTAGTAGGCTGATTTTGCTGTCTTTATACAGAGCTAGGCTAGATGTTTCCCCCAGTTTCAGTCTTTATGCTAAGCTAAGTTAACTGGCTGCTGACTGTCACTTTATACTTATAAACAGATAAATAAAGAAGTATCAATCTTCTCATCTAAATCTCAACAAGAAGGAGAATAAAAATAATTCCCAATATATGTGATTTATAAACTCAAATTTTAATTAAATGGGCGATATAATTGGGAACAGAAAGTGTCTTACCTCATCAACCTTTTGTTCTTTGTGCAGCTCAGTCATATCGATCATGAGGCTGTGGATAATGACAAATTGGGATGACAAAGAAACAGAAATCACATCTATAAATCTGAACAATGGGTCCAGTTATTGATTGCATGCCTTGTGTTGCCAGCGCTGGGTGTAGTGTTACAGGCTTGGAGCATAATCACTGACTTTGCCCTTGAGCCTGTGGGATAACATCTCTACTTTACTTTAACTGATAACAAGTAACAGATACCTTAACAGATACCTTCATCCCCCTATTGTGTTTAGGTTGCAATATGTAATGACATGCAGACAGGCAGATCCTTTGCTTTCCTATATAGCACTAGGCAATTACAAAACAAAGCATGGTCTTACCAATCACTCATAATGCTGAGGTGCAACAGACTGTGTTTGTTCTGAAGTATGTGATAAGATCAGAGTGGGGCACTCACCTTCCCAGGAAGTCATCTTTGTCTGGATCCTCATCAAACAACTCAATCTCAAGATGTTGACCTGAGTGCTCATACACCAGTGCCTGATGAACACAACAACATATTGATGCTTGTTTAAACAGGCACATCCTTAATTCAAGTTGGCAGAATAAACTCCAAATGATAGTGCAGGTAGCATTCAAACTGTTATGTTGTAAATATAAACCCCCTACTCCAACAGACATGCCAAACTTGTCACCTCATAAACTTCATTCCACTTGGGATGGAGGCTCTCTTTAACTGTTTTGCTCTGGAACATCTGGTTGCCGATCTGCAGGACGCCGTATGGGTCAGATTTGCCCTTGATCAGCCCTCCCAGAAATTTATCCTTCCCTTCCAGATCCTGAGCCTCCAAGAAGTGGATCCTCAAGACTCCCTGTGGAAACATGGATAGCACAGTGTTAAGGAGAGCAACTCTGAAATAGCAGCCTCTGACACTTCGGGGCCAAACTGGAGTCAGAGATGATAAGATGTGACATTACCTACAGTAGTGGGTATTACTGTATAAGACAGTGCAAGAGAAAACTATAACTTAATACCAGAGTTAGGAAGAAACAAAATGAAATGATTACATTATTTATTTTTTATATTTCATTACATTTTCTGCTGACAACATTATTTAAGTTAACGCTAATGGTTGATGGAACTTGTTGAACAAGAAATGCAGATGCTGTTTGAATCATAGCAGTTGTGCATCATGAATAATGAATAAAATATAACAGATCAGTATCTCTTTGCATGTAAATTTGAAACATGGTACATTTAATGAATTTCCTTTTACTTACTTACTTACTTACTTCCCTGGACTGTAGAACGTCCACTGAAAACTAGTGTGTGCAAAGCTCACAGTTGACTAGGGCAGCTATAAACAATTTGTCAGAAATAGTAATAGTGCGGTGACATTTTCAAATGGTTTGTTTTGTACGATCAACTAATAAGGTTGTGTTGATCTTGTTGCCAGGGATACAGACAGTAGCGACAAAGCTTTGTTATGCTTTTTTTGCTGTTCTGGCTGTTTTTATTTCATTCTGTTCTAAGCCTGAGAGTTACCTTAAAAACCTTGAAAAAACTTTATCTTATTACATAAAAGAACATAAAAAAGCAAAAGGGACCTATGAGATTTGACTATCAAAGACTTTCAGCTAGTAACTATGAATTCCCTCAATGATTGGTAGCTGAGCATATGTGGTGTATTAAAGCTCTTATTTAATTGGAAGCATTTCAAAACTGCATTAGTACCTTTGGCATTGGGAAGCGTAGCTTGGCAAGTTCCACATCCCCAACCAGTGGGATGGTGACACGGTTGGGTAAAACCAGATAACTGTAGATAATGTCTTGAATCAGACTGTCAGAGAGGCCACTGTGAGGACAGGAGAGGGGATAGAGAGAAGTGAGGAAAGGAAGATAAACAGAATGAAGCAATGAATTATTTAAGACAGTACGGGTGCCCTTGGGTTATAAATATTCTCCTTTAATCTCAGCTAAGTACAGTACATTTCTGCTTTGCATGTGTGAAGATAGTGGGAACACTGGAGTCAGTTCAAGCATGTTGCTGTTGCTCACTAAGAAACCTCTGAATGTCTATCTGATCCACTAATGATTCAACACTGCGTGACAACAACGATGACAGTGAGGTCAGAGAATGGCATTAGTGCCAGGTGTTTCTGTGTTCACTGAGCTGCTGTGGTACAGCTGGAAAATCGCAATCACAGCTAGAAAAAATGACAATAAAAATTCATCATTCTGTGTTATTGCTTAGCCTGTCCCTCGAAGAAAAGCTTTTGTGATTACAGAACAACTGTCCATATATCAATATGTGGATATGCTAATCAAAGGTGCTCATAAACTGCCTCAGAAGTGATCTTGAAATTGTCTCTGGAGTGATCCCAGGAATCCAAACAACACACGCTAAATCTACTAAATGAGCTGCATGAAACACACAGCATGTGATGCGTGAGATACAACAGCACAGTCAGTTGACAAGTAGCCTAATAAATCGGACATTTACTAACACAAAGGACCTGACATACCTATCCCATGTGATTTCCAGTTGCCCACCAGTGCAGAAAATTACATTAGCAACAGCCTGTATGTAATTGGTGTCATAAATTTAGGGAACTCCTATCTACGATGCTTTCAGGCAGCTGAGTAAAAAGCTCATGTGTTCCAGAGTCATCCCCCAAACTAAGAACATACAACAAAAAAAGTCAAAACAGAGGAACAACATATTTGGTCAAACTTGAGTTAAAACCAGCACAAACTTTTTGTGTGTCTTTTTTACCAATTCTAACATCATTAACTTATCAGAAACGTCTTAAAGAGACTAAGTCTAAGACTATTTCACATTTCAAGCTGAGCTGCAAAATACCGTACGCCTGCTTCCTGTTGCAATTTAGTCTCTTCACTGAGCTGATATGAACAGACAAAGAAACCAGGTAAGATTTTCTCATTTAGCCTGGAGAAACAGACCTGTACCTCTCTTGTCCAACCCAACCAAATTTGCATTGTAACACAAGTAACCATCTGTGTAAGACCTGATTAAAAACCTTAACCTAAACTTTATCCTTAAATATTACCAAGTAAACCAGTAAACCAAACTTGACTCAAATGAAAATGAAAATAGACGTGGAAGCATTTCTGTTATAATTTTGTAGCAATGAGAAAAATAAGAAAAATAAAATATGTTGCTCTCTGTTCAGGAGTGTTTCGAGGAGTCCTGTCCTCAGACTAAAGTATATTCAAGTGTATAAATATGTGTACAGGTCGTGTTAAGGTGGGACTGGAGGTATGTATTTTTCTGTTTTTCAGTCATTAGGGTCAAAGCAGTTTGGTGCTGCCCCGTATGGCCCAGCACAGTGCAAGCCAGCTGCAATGCAAACTGACCATCTCCAACAAAATGCAGCGGTACAGGGCCTCAGAGACGCCCTGTACTCTGCCATCAATGGGATGAAGTCTCTAAAAGACGAGAACAAGTCTCTGATGGACAAAATGAACCTGCAGCAAAAGGAATGGAAACAGGTGGAGAACCAACTCCAAAAGGAGCTCAGATAGAAGGACAAGCTGGTCAACAGGGCCACTAAAAGAAGGCAGGCTTGCACAAAGGCCTACATTGACACCCTGGCCCTGCTCACTCTAAAAGAGCTCGAGCTGGCTCAGAGAGAGGAAGAGTGGAAGGTCAGGTGTAGTGCACTGGAGGCGAGTCTGCAGGAGCTGGCTCTGAGAGTGAAAGACAGCAGCAGGAATGTGCAGGAGCTGGAAGAGCAGCACACAACTCAGAAGCAACAGGAGGAGAAAAAGATTAAAAACAAGCGGGAGAACAAGACTCAAGAGGAACAAGAGGAGGAAAGGATTCACAACCAGCAGGAAAACATGACTCAGAAGGAAGAGGAGATTAAAAATGATAAAGAGAACAAGACACAAGAGGAAGAAGAGAAGAAAAAGATTCACAACGAGGAGAAGAAGACTCAGATGGAAGAGGAGGTGAAAAACATTCAAAAGGAAGGAAAGAACAAAGACAACGACAATGTGAAGATGGAGGAGGAGGCAAAGACGACTGACAAACAAATGACTAAGGAAAATGAGCACAACCTCCCTCTTCCTGAAACCCCTTGCCATCTTTCCCCTTTCCCCCTTCTTACCTTACCTACCTTACCCACTCCCTACTCCCCCCTTCCCCATGTCTATCCTTTATCCAACATTTGTTCACTAACAGATTTGTCATGTCAACTTAAAAAGTGATAATAATGTCAGTGGCCAACACCCACCAAGTGGTCAAAAACATATCGATTGAAGGTTTAAGCTTTTCTTACAACTTCCACTGCATAATACAAGCTATCTTCAGGCAAGTGGAAAAACACCAGTCAGGCAAACAAATTTAGATGCCTGTGTTTGTCTGGAGCCAGGAGAAACATTAATTTTATCAATCCTCAGCTTATCTTCCAATGAAATGGCAGGCTACAGCTCTTGTCTGTGAGCTGATTAGAGACACAAAGATTGTCTGGTGGAGGACTGATCAGAGCCAGAGCTTCTCTCCCACTGATAGCTGAGGGTGTGAAGGAAATCCTGCTGCATCGGTGCTTATTGCTGCATCTCTGTTGCTCCCCTGCGTATGTGTGTGCATGCACAATAACAAAAGTGAGAACATCTATTTTATTTAAAGACAGCACATATGGTCACTCGTATTACATAATCTACAGTATGTACAGTATACTAGTGTGTGTTTGTACTTGCTATTGAGCCATGTCAAAGACAGATTTCTATCTTACACCGACAATTATCTTTTAGCCATGCTAGCGAGGTGGCAATTTCTGTGTCGGTTCACCAGTTTGGTCCAGAGTGAAATATCAACTATCTCAACTATTAGGTGGATAACCATGATATTGTGGACAGACACTGAATGGTACCCAGAGGATAAATTCTATGACTTTCGTGATCTGCTAACTGCAGTAATATGAGGTTGACATTTTTGTTTTAATGAAATGTCACAAACAATACTGGATAAATTACCATTTTGTACACACGATCATGTCCCCCTTAGGATACATCTAAATCCCTTTGGTGATCCCCTAACTGCCATCAGGAAAAATTTTTAATTTGTTTCAATGTTTTGGTTTATATCCAAATAACTGCACAACACTCCTATCAGCTTCAGCTGTAATTGTGTTTCGAGCTAATTATGAAATGTTAGCAAGCTAACACGCTAACCTAAGCTGGTGAACATGGTAATATTATACCTACTAAATATTCAGAGAGTTAGCAATGTCATTGTGAGAATGTTTGTATTCTGACGTTCACATTTAGCTCAAAGCACCAATCTAACAGTGATGCTAGCATGACTATAGAGTCTTAGCCTTGTTTTGTTTTGACACTTATGACATATTACAACATGTAAATAAACAAGTAAGACAAACAGAGTATGTTGCATATTAATAACAAGGTTTAAGAGAGACACACTGGGCAAGCCCTCCAGTAGGCAGCTGATGCTGTCTGTCTGCTGCAGACAAACAACCAAGACAGCCACATAAACAAGCACGTGTGTACACACAAACACACACATACTGCATTGCATAAGATGCATGGATCCATTACACCCCCACGGAGGACTCGACAGAAGGCCTGAAGGAGACTGGCCACTCAGCTCTGCCTGTGTCAACATGTCTGTCCACATCCGCAGGGTATAGGACAAGCAGCTGTAATCTTAGAAAATCCCCAAGCAGCACTTATGCATGTGTCACATAATTTGGGGTGTAAATGATGTATGAACCACTCTAGACAGTGTCAAGTTATTGTGTTGGGCTGTTAGCAGCTCTTAACTGACTCATTTACTCTCTGTTTAACCCACACAAAAACCTGCAGGGAAAAGAACCTCAATATGAGTATGAGCAAGACAAAATGAGGAAGAATGAGGAAACAGTCTACAACATTTCCTCATCTGGCCTGTTTTAGCCAAGGTTACTAACACACACACACACACACACATATACATATATATATAACTTGGTTATTCATGAAAACATATATTACACATATTTTAAAGATCCTATTATGCATGGTTTTCTCACTGGTTTTTTGCAAAGTGCTTGACAGCAAAAGAGACAGGTTTACCTAAATCAGCCCTGTCTGGTCAAACTCTTAATCATAACAGTAACAAGGACAAGGACACCTACGGCAGTAAGGAAACACTCAAAAAAAGCTCTTTAGCAGAAAATATTATCAGTACATTCAGTGGAATATTTCTTCTCAGGTAATGGACAAGACTCTAAATCCACATGAATACTATGGATATTGTTAGAAGGCGCAATTAACACATGCATGAGCGATTAATAGCATGAAAAGTAGGCATGAGTCCAGATTCCTGAAACCAAACACTACAGACCTCCTATCTGCTCTGAAATCTTTTGAAATATCACCTTTCTTTTCATTTTCTTTTGAATAAAGACACTTTCTTGAGAAGCAGGAAAAGCCAGTTTTAAATGACTTACTTGAGCCCTGGAATGTCCAGTAGATTGGTGAGGCCAGTCCAATTTATATCCAGAAGCTAAAAGAAGAAGAAAAAATGTGAACATACCAGAAACACTGGAAACATAGTATGATTTTTTTTTTTTTTATTCACCCTAACACTTTGTTGTTTCCTGCCTCCTGTGCTACATTAATCACTTGGCTTCTTGTTTTCTGGCCAACAAACCCCACTGATTAATAACAGTGGATACAAAGAGTCCCACACAAGTTGCAACAAAACAATATAAATCAAAAGTTTTTGTGGATGACTCGCTAATGTTTTGGTCCATTTCAACAACATAGCACTACTTAACCTACAATACTGTTGCCGTGTGACTTATTCTGGCTGGTGGTTGTCTCACTGCGCACCAGTTCGGTGATGAACTGTGACATATATATATATATATACTGCAACAAACTTTTCTGGCCCCAAATATTTGCACGGATCCTTGAATGGAAATGAACACATGCTTGCTGAAATATTGTATTTATAAACGCAGCAGCAGTCCTCTGGAATCTCATTAGGTTTCAGGGTACAAGACACTTTTCTATGGTACCAAATTATTAAGGAGTCAAAGACTGATAAAATTATTTTCAATTTGATTCACTTCCTGGGTAAAACTAGAAGCAGGTATGTCAAATCTGGAGAAGGGAAGACAGCTGTGAATAGCATCAGCTAAGACCTGGAATGCAGACAGATCCTGTCTCTCAGTGAGCTTTGATCTGCTTCTGCCTCTGAGCTGAAGGAGCAGTGTTTTCTTAATGAGCCTTTCCCTCTTCCTTTCTGCCCAAGTTGCTTACACTGCAGCAGATGCACTGAGCTCAGCAGGGAAGAGGGGAGCACTGCAGGGTTGTTAATGATGTGTGGGGGGTGGGGGGTGGCGGGGGGCTGCGTGTTGTGGGAATATGGTTGGAGGGACACACCCTCAATTCTCTGAAGCAGGCTTGTTGGGTTGCTAGTATGTACTGAAGATACCCAACGTTTGCAAGTTACAGCTCCTTCATTTTGAGGATTTCCTGCTTTTCTCAGTTTGATATCATTAGAAATTTATAACCTTTGGGTTTTGGGCTGTCGGTAAGATAAAATTAGCAAATTCAAAGGAACACTTTGACATTTTGGGAAATATGCTTATTTGTGTTTTTGTCAAGACTTAAATAAGAAAATCAACACCACTTTCATGTGCATCGGTTTGAAGCTATAGTCAGGGGACCTTAGCTTAGCTTAGCATAAAAACTGGAAACGGGGAAACAAAAGCCTATCAGTACTTCTAGAGCTCACAATTAACACAATATATCTTGTTTGTTTAATCTGTACAAGGACAATAAAACAAACATTCTTGAGTCACTGCCACGGATTGATTTTTTTTCTAATCCAGCTAGAGGGTTAGCTGTTTCAACCAGTTTCAAGTCTTAATGCTAAAGTAAGCTAAGCATCTGCTTGGAGTGCATATATGAGAGTGGTATCAAACATCAGTTATTTTTTAATTATCTAAATGAGTCAGTGACTATTACTTCCTAAAACATTGATTGAGAATTTAAAACTTCTGGGAACTTATTTGTGATTATTTTGGACATTTTACAGCCTAAAGATCAAATAATCAAAAAATAGATATGAATGCATGCAATGTGTTAATTAATCAATACACAACTCCCAATATAACCAGTCACAATAAACATCCTCAAGTGTTGAACTCTGCTCATATAAAGTGCAAGACTGTTTGTTTAACTGAGCAATGAATCTCTTTTGCGGTGTGTGTTGCATCTTTTTATTTACACTGTACTAGGTTTCATTAATGTGACCTCACATCCAGACGTGGCCAAGACCTCTCATGGTCTGGAAATGTTTCTGTTTCATTTTGCACTCAGGATCAGGCCTTGTATGGCACTTTGAAGGAAAGACGATGAGTTATTTGGATTCCACCGTACACAGTGTCATGACTTTTTTCACCCACAGGAAATTGCTTTTGCAATTTGCTGTCTTCTCCACCATCCCGATTTAATATTCCTCATCTAGAAGCAGGGGGATGATTGGGCAGCGTGTGTGTGTGTGTGTGTGTGTGTGTGTTTGTGTGTGCGCGTGTGTGTGCGCGTATGTGTATACATGTGGGTATGCACCATGATTTACTGACTAGAGCTGCTGCCTTCTCCCATCAGCCTCCTACAGTAATATCTGCACCTTGAGCTTTAGCTGTGTGCCTGTTGTAGAGAAATCTGCCAAAGTAGGACTGGTTTTAGCTGCAGCTATTAATAGCTCTGCTATAGTTCCGCGGGGTCCTCCTATTTGGTTTAAATCGGTCAAACATTTTTAAGCTGTGCAGCAGTGGCTCTGCACAGGGGTTGAACAGGAAGATTGATGAAATGTAACTGGATAATATTGGATATGTAAACAACTGGCAATGTGAAATGCAAACTGTGTGAGGTGATGTAGATTGTTTACACTATAAGAGCATAGAGAATGTCGAGAGCAATGCCAGCGACAAAAAAACGACCAACTGAAATTAAACTTAAAGTTGAGTGAAATGTATGAAACACATTATAATGTGATTTGACTCATGAAATTATCATTTAAAGTCCAATTTATGTTCACTATTTCTGCTCGAAAGAGGCAAACAGATTAGCAAAGCAGAAAACCAAAGGCAAATTTGATTTATGAGGTGTAATATTATAAAATTTAGTGAGAATATAAAATACATTAAGAACCGAAACTGGGGTATGAAAGATATTCAGGACATTTTGTGATATTTACTGTAACGGGGCCAACCTTGGCAAAAACAGTGAGTATAAAGAAGAGAAAGACAGCATGCAGTACTAAAACTTTTTCATTCTTTTCAAATGTCGTGCCAAATAACAATATGACACTATACAATAATGTGTTACACTCCTGCTGGTAAATATTCAGGAGACATCTGGTTTTGTATTTCAATTTACAAATCCCAGTTCAATAACTTCTGCCCTAATCATATTGCATTTGTTCAGGCCGCAGTGTAATTATAATTTCAACAAACAAGCTTAATTGACTATATCAGTGTCGTATTATTGGCGTCCGGACTTACTGGCTTCTTGAGGAAGAACAGAGACAGCGCTCCAACAAGAGGCATATCACCCAGCAACGGCTCCATCACCACTCTCAACACGCCGTGGATCTATGGAAACACAAGGGGACACATTGACACACATGCCACGTACACATAAAGAGAGAGCTTAAGGGGACTGACACTGCTCTGGCCCTTGACATTCCTCGGCGGTGGAGTAGCACATGACAGGTTGGAAACTTGATCACAGCCTGACTTCACACCTGCCCCATGTCATCCTCCACCTTCTCCATAACATATTATGACAATTACAAGGATTATGGTGTTGGAAGTGCTGAATGTGTCATGTGGACACCACGCAGCTGCTCTAATCCAATGTAGGGACCAAAAGATTGGGAGATCATTTTGTTTTGAATCAATATTTGTATTTTCAGAAACAATAGTAACAAAATCTTGTCTGAGCAGAACTGTGTCTGAAACTGCAATTACGCCAGTGAATCAAATACTAATAAAGCACCAGTGAATCAATACAAAAAAAGTGCTTGGAACTACTAATACTAATAAAGCTCTTTTAGTGTTTGCACATGGACAAATACCATCACAATCATTTTAAGACTTCAGTTTATTTCTGTCACCAAGGAAATCTCAATTTAAGAGATTATTCCCCGGAACCAAACACTGGAAAACTGATCTGTCAGAAAAGCAGCTCCATAGGAAATGACGCTGACAATAATCTGACTGTTCAGAGGCATAAAAGACAATTCAAACCTGATCCTAGTGCAAGATTTCACACAAAAGTTTAGTTCCATTTATGAAGCAATGGCACACTCTAAATTGAACTGATACAGCTAAATCATGCTAGTTTTTATCTTTGGGCTGGTATACTGTGTATTTTATTCTGTATTGACAAAACTGTCTCAAGGAATAATGATGTCTTAAAAGCAGGGTGACCTGCACCAGCAGCTGTCTAGCGGGGAAACAATAACATAGATGGATCTTAATTAATGGATTTATTTACAAAAGAAATTGAACTGCAATTTGAAACTCACATTACAGAAAATGCAATTTGTTTGGAGGTTTAACACAATGACTATGTAAAGATGGACGACATGACAGCTCACCAAAAGTTATCTCTGCCATTTTAGATAGCTCTTGTCATACTGATATACGTTCAAGTGTTAATTTTTCCAATAAGCTTGCTTTTAATTAGTTATTTAATGCTGTAAAATGGGAGTGTGACATCATGATTGACAGCTGTGATTAACTTTGGGTGTGTGAGCGGGTCCCTCGATACGGTGCAGACTCTGGTTCAAAATGACTTTATCAACACAAGACAGCAGCACCTGTATCCTGGATATTTTGGCTTCATTTTTGTACAGTCTAGTGAAGTGACGTTGTCCATCCTTATATACTGTCATTGGTTTAATTGGCTTGTTATGTGCAGTAGCTTTGTTGAGGGGTGAGCCTCAATCAACACAGTGGGGCCACACACCAGGCTGATATAAAATATATAATAAAAGTCCAATATCAGCCACTGCTTAACCCCACTCTTCACAAAGCCATCTGTAATCTAATCATTATCATGGAGTCAAGCACACCTGCTCTGTGTAGCGTAAAGCAGCACAAGGAGTGACAGGGACTAATATATTAGTGGTTGATAATGAGCTGCAGAGATATGTAGGTCTGCCTGAGCTACATAATGGGGGCAGCGGGCAACAAATGTCTCCCAGGGACAGACCTCGCAGCTATCAGCCTCCAAGGAGGCACACTGATTGTTTCTTCTGGCTGCTTTCTGTTTCACTGCAGCGGGAACACACAAAAGCACCAAGGACATAAAAGACCAACAAAACACACACATATTACACGCAGTGAGACAGAATCTTCTCACGGAGCATATTCTTATAATGTGAATGTTTTACTTTTGTTTAAAATCCTGTTTATTAGCTCAATCTACTTTTTGTTATTATTATCTTTAAACTTTTCTCTTTAGCCTTTATGTTGCTGTATTTTATTGTCTTAATAGCTCTGCAGAGCTGTAGTTCCCGACTTCAGATCCACCCAAGGGATCACAAGATGATGCATAGGATAGAAGAAAAACATTCTGAAATACAAAACTATATTGTTTTTTTTTTTTTATTTCTCTCTAGTCGTTTATTTTTTCTTTCATATTATATAATGGATAGACCCTTGAGGTCTCTAAATACGCAGTAATTCAAATGAAACAGTCTGAGAGGAAAAAGTCACACTTTGGTTAAGCTGCTCACAAAAAAGGACACAAAGAATGTAAACTGTGACAAAGCAAGTACACATACTATATATAAAAGGAGGTTAAGCCTAAAAATGATTCCATGATTATTTCTACGTTTTTGTTATTAACTTTAGTTAGTAACTACATGACTATTGACAGCCTCATTAGTATGAGTACACACATTCCTCCACCACTGAAGTACAGAATTTAATTTGTACTTTCAGACCAGAGTGTGATTTAATTATACACTTACATCCCTGAAAGCTTTCTGTATTTAGACATTCAATAAGTCGCAATGCATTGAAAGAATGTTCAACTGAGAGGAGAAAAGCTCCTGTCCAAATAACTTCAGCATCCTGTTATTATCTGCTGTACAAAAAAGTCCAGCCAGTAAGGAAAAAATACTTGGAGTTTGAGCCAACAGGACAGACTTTTACCTGAATTCAGTGTCACTTACATCCACCGTAGAGGACAAAACTCATCCAAGTGCCAGTGTGAGGATGCGAAACAAATCAGACAAAAAGGATTGTCCTCACCTGGATGCTCTTAATGCCAGCTTTGCAGTAGTAACGCTTGATGTCCACGTCAATCTCTGTGTTGCCAACAAAGCTGGGTAACACACAAGACAAAAAACAAAATGTTCATCTGGTGAAACTGCTGAACTAGGGTTCCTTCACTTTTTTAACAATCTCGAAAGGACTAAAAGAGGGGGGGGGTTTCTAGTTGTCATTTCAAAATGTGCCAATATGAGGGGCCATCAGGAACCCAAAACACTTCCCCAGTCTGCCTCTCTTTACGCTGCACCTCTGATCAGTGTCATATAGGCCATTTATTGATTTACTTCCTCATTAAAACCAAAACCTGTTAGCATCAGTAAACAGGACTGAAATCTTAGGTTTTATAATTTCAACTATTATTATCTTATGATTATTTTTTATTTCAAATCAGCAATCCTTTAAGAATTCCCAAAGGTCTGAGGAACCATTTTAAAGTAGAAAGGAAAAGAAGCTAGAGGTAAAACAATAATGTTTTAAACAGAGATCTGATTGGCTCACCTGATCTGCAGGTCCATGATGATCTGACGCTTATCCACATTCTCTGAATAAACCTTGACTCCGTTGACCCTCAGGGGCTACACCGCAACAGAAGGAAGCATTACGGCCACTACACTCCAGTCCATCACCACCACAACAACACCTCAACCCCTCCCAAACCACCACATGGTTAGCACAAGGTCGACCCCTCTCCTGACCCCATATGGAAACTATTTATGAAACGAGCACATGTGTCAGCGACGTGCATGTATGTTCACGTTCAAGCTCCCACACACCCTCGCCAGCTGTCGCAACGGCACCTGCTGCTCGCGGTCTGTTTTGCCACTGAAAACATCACATGATCCATGTGAGTGCCTGTGAACACCATGCGGGAAAACTCAGAGAGATGCTCACTTTGTCTCCTATGTCGATTTTGCTGAAACAGAAGGTGCTGAGGTGGGCGTTGGACTCCTTCACTGCCGGCTCGATCGTCTCGTGGAATAATTTCTCCACAAACTGGCAGATGTAGGGCCACATCTGCTTCACCGTCTAAGGGGATACAGGGAGAGAACTGAGCTTCAAAGAAAAAAAAGAAAAGAGTGGTGCCCTTTTGCATCATGGGCGTGTTCCTGTATGTGCTATAGGCACATACAGGTACATCTCTCTCTCTGTGAATGATACAGTTACTTTAAAATATTCAAAATGTAGTTCTCTATAAGCAAAATCTTGTCAGACTCACACACATCAAGCAGGGACAGCAGCAAATGAAATTTTGATGCATGCATCTAAATCATGTTAATGTACACTCATGAGGGCTTTAATATTTACATCCAGCTTGTTGCCATGGGGATTTGAAAGGGTTAATGCATTTCACAGTGCTGCAGAACCAGGGCTGCATGTTAAGTCAAATGTGCTGCAGTGTACAGAGTGGCAACAGTCACATCCCCAGTGGGAAGAGGAGAAAGCAGAAGAGAGGCAGACATCCCATTTCCTCCTATTCGCACAAAGCAAAAGGAGAGCTTCACTCAAGCAAACAAATTCAAGAGACAGCTGCTCAATTCTTTACCTTGTTTATCCACTCCACCCGCTCTACATCTGGGAAGTGCACCTACAATGGGGAAAACAGAGCAGATAATCTCTATGTTGGTTTCATTAAGCCTGATAATGCAATATTTTTAATGGCAAGGTTCCACATATAATCTATGTGCTGAGATTTGTTTCACTGGTAATCTGACTTTAAATTATATATTCAAAATGTCTGTGTTATCAGTAAAATTGAAATGTCCATTTTTATAAATTGAACTTTATTTTTTATATGTGAAATTCTTAATTTTCAATTTAGACATTTACCACTGCAGAGAAAGGCACTGCACTAAATTCCAGATGCTAAATTGCAGAATTGCCCTGATATAATCCAAAGGGGGTTAAGTTATTAAATGTTTGCAATGGACCAAATGTGCAAACCCTCTTCTCTTCGATTTCCAACTGTTTCAAATTACTCTTGAATTAGGTGCTAATTTCAAATGCAAAGTTGGTCTTTTTACCTAACTCAAATTTCAAATTTTACTTTTGAAGGAATTTTAAAACTGTTACTCAGAAAAATCCACTGTTTGAAGATGTCACATTTGTATTGGCCATTCAGAATATCTAAACAAACATTGCTGAAGCAGTACAACACGACTATCACACAATCATAACAGAAATAATTCAAAGACGAGAGGACAGAGTCTGTTTCTATTGGGCACAAATAAAATTTGAGAACATTTGTTGCAAGAGCTTTTTTAAATGGAGTTATTGACAAAAAAGAAAGAGGATGAAGGAAAGGAACATGAAAAGGAAGTTTCAAAGCAGTGTTCAAACAAAGGTCATTGGATTTTTCCAGTTTTCATTTCTACATAAAGAATGCATTGATTGTATGACCTTTCTTTTATCGTCATCTTTTTTGTGTCATCTGGTATAAAATAACTCATCAATACACATCAATACAAACTATAGAATATAGTGTCTCTCCTCACATCATGAGTGTGAGCATTCATGTTATTAGACCAATACTGTTGGATTTACTGTAATTTTAGAAAGAGAGTTAAGACTAAGTGGCCAAATTTAATCTTACTTGCATCCTGAACTAGATCTCAACTCGTGTCATATTTCCAGACGTATTTCCTCACTACATTTGTGCTGTGAGACTGAGTTGCACTTAATCTTAACGATCACAGTATATCTGGCATTGATTTAACATGAGCTAAAGGAAATGCCTGGAATAAAATCAATGCCGTGCACAAAGGTGTGCAACCACCTTAATAAATAGCTGATAAACACCTCTGCCTCTCCATCACACCAAATTTAAAGCGTTTATTTCCTAATTTCAAGAGCAAGAAGTGATGCAACCTGCTGGAGTGCTGGTCAGATATGTAGTGTGACAGCTACAAGCAGCATCAAAAGTCCTTATCCAGCATTAATGTCAAAGTCTGGGTAAAGCAGTGACAAGAGCAAGAGGACAGGGAACAGAAAGTTCTAGTTCATATAACAGAGTCAGGCCCACAGTTTTGTTATGAGGTGAAAGTAATATAATCCTCTACACAAGACACTGGTAAGGTTTCATTATTACACCCGACACAGTGACCTTACTCAGAAAATGTAGGTGAAGCAATGGATGATTCACTCAACAGGACATATGTTAGTGCTGGCTCAGAAAACTAAGGTGTGTAGCAGAAAGTGGAAGCAAAGCATCTTAATTATTCAGGTCCAGCCATCGTTGCTGTGTTGGTGTAAAACTGGAAAGTCATTCAGGTTTATGTCCTGAAAGTAAAATTAACAGTCTGCTTGAGTACAAACTGCCTATAATCAGCGCACTGAGCCTTGGAAAGTAATCAGGACCTGGAAACAAATGTAACTAAACACAAGAGATTAAAGAGCTAAGGAGTTTCCTGAAAAAGTCCCAAAAATCACATATCTAAACAAAGCAGAGGCAGTATTTGATTCAAGTCACATAAACAGCACCTGTTTTTCACACATATAATGTTTACCTCTCAAACTTGTGTTTACATCTCATAAGTCACATTGACTGAGGTTTATCCAAAGGTCTACAATAATGCAGACAACCAGACTCTTCAAAATAAAACACCTTTCAGAAAAGTGAAATAAAGCTCAGTTTATAAAGCAGCCTTTTGGCCTCTTCTCTTGACGACACATTGAAAAATTCTCTGCACAAATAAATTGTGACGGGTATGATGCCTGTAACTTTATTGTGCATTTCATTTATGATAAAATTGTAAGACTGGTGATGGAATTGTGGCACTTTCTCCCTTATTCTTTGTCAGTTTATAATCCTTTTCTATTCTTTTGATCGCATATCACTTATTAAAGAAGACAAAATACCTTCTTTACCTGGTTGATAGTTTGTGTGTTTGCTTAATCTGTTTCATTCACCAACTGAAATAATATCTGTGGTCCACTGACTGGAAAATGAATGCAACAGTTCACCCACATACAGTGTCAGAAACGTATTAATTTAAGCATGTCTGTGAGGCATTGTGCAATTTATTTTTTCATGTTTATTCCTGTGACATTAAACTTAAATCCAGAATATTACCTTAAGTGTAAGTAGCTGTTACACAGGCCAGCTAATGACTCACCCTGGGAGAAAACAGCTAATGATATAAACTCGAACAGAGAGGAGTGCACATGGAAGCGTGGGAATCGGGGCAAGGCACTAAAAAAGGATTTGTGAAAACAATGCCATCTCCATCAAGACTCAATTCTGCCTAGTGAGGTGAAACTGGTATTCACCAAGATTTAGGAGCTATAAATGGTGAAAATCTCCACCCCTGATGACAGCGCAGTATTGATGCACTGATATGTGCTCAGCTTGACAGTCTGAAACATGCGTGTCATTCATGGTGAAGCCCTGGATGGTGTGAAGTAATTTCCTGTGATGACCATGCACAGGCACCAAGTATGACCAGAGCTATATGTAGTGCTTGACATGATGTTTCTATTACAAACCCCACACTTAAAGCAGGGGTGTGCTGAGGTCACTCAATAACACCTCTTTCCCTTGAGTGGGATACTTTTGCAGTACCCCATCTAGCTCCACCACCCCCATTTAACAGCCTCAATGCATCCTCAGCCATGTGTCAGCAGAATAAGCTTTTAGCTGTTCTCAAAACATGAGAATGCACTAAATACCACAGACCGGTTGGGCCGTGACTCTCGGACGAGTCTGATATAGAAAGTCTTGTATTTATAGTTTGATAAATTAAGCAGCTGAAACTCAAGGCCCACTTGAATTTGCAATTCAGTTGAGCTGGATTTTATGCTTGGATAGCACTCAGTTAATGAGACTATATAAGAAGGTTTTAGTGAGAATAAATCTCTCCATTTCACTCTAATTCCTACCCTAAAAGATACATAGTGCACTAAAAAATGAAATATGGCTTCTTCAGTCAGTTCATCACTGTCTATTGGACTTCCAGCAGAGTTTACTAGTGCAGGAGTCAGCAGGTAGTCTGAGGATGGATCAATGAATATGGAATATAAATAACTACAGTATAAACATTGTACAACCTCTATTAAGAGGACTAGAAGCATTCATTTAGAGGCCAATCCCTTTACTTTGAAATATTTCCCCTTGATGCTAATACCACTCCCTCCTGTCTTTCAAACCTTTTTTAAAGACACTAGTTCTGAGAAAAGTCACACATCTGGCTATGTGACAAAAATAACAAGTTGTCTCAAAGAAACTATATAGTTTGTTGAACTTATCTATATCTATTATTATGTTATTATCTGTCTTATCTGTATTTTGTCTTCACGTGCCACTTCATTACATGCAACCTAAGTTTTTTAACTAATTTACATAGTGGGGTTGCTGAGGGTTCATGAGGAGGTCTCAGGACATTCCCAACAAAATCCTAACCACTAAACTATTAACCCTGACAAGGGAAGTCAGGAACCACTATGTTATCTATCATTTTTGCCAAGATAAAGTGTTGCAGTAATGGAGTGAGTTCACTACAAGAGAGATAGCAGTCTGGATCCCAAAATAACAGGGACCCCGTGGGCATGTTTCCTTTCCAGCATGGTGTCTGGTTTACCATTGTACCCTGCTGTATTTAGACTGGGGCTCAGTCTAATGTCACTGCTGGGGGGAACAGCTGCTCCATCACAGCTTTACAGTTCAACTCTGCTCCTCCTGCACTTGACAGCTGATAGTTTTTTTTCCTGGAAACTCAAAAATATTGTTCACAAATACACCTCACACACACTTAACAGAGAAAAATCTCGGCTCAGAGCCAGTAGACATTTTTTTTGTCTACTGCGTTTCACAAGGAGACTTACCCATGGTGGTAAATCGGAGGTCGTAAGACCCTGTTTGACACTTCTCTCCTCCTGCTCAAAGAAAGCCAGAGCACGGTTTAGTCGGCTGTGCTTCCCTCCTGTGTTCCTCCTCCACCAGAAAAAGATAACCAGTCCAATCAACAGCCAGCTGAAGCTAAACTCAAAATAACCCAAAGCGTATATGGGGAAAATTAGAACAAACGTTTTAGCGAAGTGAACCCAGGTCTGGGTCAGTTCGCTGGTCGAGGACACCGGAGTATCATCGGGTATGTTCCCCGCTGAGGGATGGTGAAAGTTGGCGTCAGGCTGAACGGGGCTCAGCGCAGTATGTCCATTCTCCTTAGGTGAAGCGGGGCTTGCATTGTGTGAATGGGCTCCCCGTACAGCTGTCATGCTGTCTCTTGACATGCTTCTGTGTCCAAGAGTCCGTTTTTAAACTGTTAAAATGCGGATAAGGTCGGGTGACTCGGTTCCCATGTGCGAACGGACCGAGGGGGTTCCTTTTGGGGAGCCTGTTCTCACGTTGGCTCACCTGCACACCAGCCCATTGCATTCGAAGGAATCGCTAGCATTGACAACTTTGGTTTACGTTTTGACTAAAAGCTAAGAACTGCATTCCCTTGATTAAATGAGTCTGCTGAGCCAGTCCAGTCCACAGTGAGGACACGAATGGTCATTTCTAAGAACGCACATGCACCCTTCACTGTGCGCTCCCAGCTAACCTAGCGTAAAGAAAAAAATACCGCCATCTCGTGCTCATTAGCTGTAAACAAGTTTGTAATTATCAATCGAAGTAATGCTTGGGTAACGTCAAATTACATTTGAAATGTCTACTCTAAAACTATAGATGAGAAAAGAAACACGGGTAACTGGCTGGATTTCAAACACATAATTACATAACTGCGTACCTTGCTAGCGTTCTTTCAAAATACTAGAGCAGTTGAAATAAAAATGACGAGCACAGAGTAATCGTTCCAAATATGAGTTGTATTCATGGCAAACATCAAAAGCAACACAACTAGTAGCAACTGAGTTATAAGCACCAATTGTTATAGTCGATAAAATAACAGATTTCTCAAAAGGTTTTGTTAAAACTAATCAGGTTTTAACGGGTTGCCATGGCAATCGGCTGTTGATTCCAGCGACTGCTCTGCTGCTGACTAACAAGCCTGTTGTCAAGCCGATGTGACGCGATCTCCTTGGTTTCGAGTAACTGCGCATGCGCACTATAGCTTTAACATCATGGCGGCGTCACTACGAAAATATGAGCTGATTTTCGGTGATTGAAAACTTCCGGGAAAAAAAACAGATGTGAACATGCATAGCGACAAGGTAAGCGCTTTATCGTTGTTCTTACCCTATGCAGGCGGAAGTCGGGGAATGTTTACAGTAGAAAGTGTCATATCCGCTCTGGTAACTAGTTATCAAACGTTATGCTAGGAAATGAACGTTATCTCACTGTTTCTCAAGAGTTTGATGTTATATGCTATATTTTTGTCGTTGAACTAAGTTGAAATGTGCATCTAGTGAATACAAGATAATGTATTCATTTAGAAAATAACCAAGGAAGATACATGGAGACCAGCTGAGCTGAGAAGACATATCAGGGTAAGTTTTTCAGAGTTAAAAAGCACTGGAGAGGGGATTTCAGAATTAAGAAGATAGTCAAGAGAATAAATGACAAATGTACATCCAAATGATAACACTTGTTTTATTTTTTATCTTTCAGGAAGAAGGACATGGTGATGACTATGTCAGGAGGAGAGATGACAATGAGAGGAAGCACCGAGGTGGGGAATCCGTAGAGAGACGCCGCAGAGACCCGGAGAAGGAGTCCAGACGAGACAGAGACAAGCACAGGGAAAGGGAGGGTACGAGAGAGAGAAGAGATGAAGACGGAAAAGACAGATATGCTGAGCGAAGTAAAGAGGCCTCACGGGACAGGAGAGGTGATAAAGAAAGGGACCGAAGAGATGAGAGGGACAGAGACACAGAGAAGAGAAAGGAACGGGAAACACTGGTAGATGGAAAAAGGCACAGTTATGATTATAGAGAGAACAGTTACAGTAGGCGGAATAGAGAGGAAAAACATGATAAGGAGAGAGACAAGGAAAGACATAGAGATAAAGAGAGAGACAGGGCAAAGGATAGAGAGAGACACAATGAGGAGGACAGGGACAAGAGGAGGGAAGAGAGAGACAAGGAAAGAAGGAGAGAGGAACAGCATAGAGAGCACAAGATTGAGAGGGAGAGAAAGAGACATGAAGAAAGTGGAGAAGGAGGAAGAGATCAGATAGAAAAGTATGATAGAGAACAGAGAGACCGGCATCGAGAGAGAGAGCGACACAAAGATGATTATGAAGAAAAGAGGAATGACAAAGACAGACGGGAAAGACATGGAGACAGGAAGCATTCAGAACGGAAAGAGGAAAGAGGTAATGATACAGCAGTGTGTTCATATAGCTCACCATTTTTACAGATAAAGGATGTCAGTATGAGGTCAATGTTTCTGTCTTCATCTGTCTGTCTTTAGAGTATAGAGAAGAACACAGAAGACATAAAGAGGAGAGAGAAAGGAGACACAAAGAGAGAGGATATCATGTAAGCATCTGTGTTAAATTAATTGTCTGTTGCTATTTTGCATTTTAAGGAAAGGTAAACAAATTATTGAATATTTTTGCTCTTTTTGGGATACATTTGTGTTCTTCACAGGTTAGCATACTTGTGTCAAAATCCTTTGGTTACATTGTCCTTCTTGTGTGGACTTTCCTGCTCCCTAGGATGAAAAGCAGAAGCGTGATGGTGAATCCAGGGAGCATCAAGACTTGAAGAGGTCAGGTGAAAAGGAAAGGCATCATCGTGGTGACAGAGAGCGAACCGAATGGGACAAACACAGAGAGAGAAGGCACAGAGAGGAAGAAGATCCAGAGAAAAAACACAAAGAGAGAAGGCACAGAGGAGAAGAAGATGACCCAGAGAAAAAACACAAAGAGAGAAAGCACAGAGAGGAAGAAGATCCAGAGAAAAAACACAAAGAGAGAAGGCACAGAGAAGATAAAGACCTAGTAATAAATCACACAGAAAGAATCAGCCCCAAGAAATCAGCCTCTGACAAAAGTCATAGACATGAGACTAATGCAGTAGAAACAGAGGTTAGTAGACCCACAAAATGCCTGTATAGCCTTCATAACACTGATCTAACACTATGGATTCTGTGATGGATTTTTATGATTTTCTCCTCCCACATGTTGCTTTTGCAATCCAGGAAGTTGAGATCGTGTCTGAGCACTGGACAACTAGTGTGAAAGATGTAGGAGACACAGAAGAGCCAGTAAGATGCTCAGTTTGGTTACCCTGCTTGCAACCTTCAAGGAAAAGAGTCTTCTCTTGCAATTCTGGGGACTATTTTTTAGTTTGGTGGTGTGGTTTTCTTATTTTCATAGGTTACTGGCAAGCCATAGACAATATAATATTATGCCAGTTACAATGGAGCTCGATCTCCCAGCTATGCTTTGCTTGGCCCACACCGCAGCATCCTATATAAATTTAAGAGCTTAAATATAAAAAGATTTCTCTTTTTTCTGGTTGTTGTCACTGGGGAATGTGTCCCTCTGTTTGGGCTGAGAGTCACCTACTGTCTGTACTTCTTACTGTACTGTGCGCAGTCTTTTTCTTCTTACTTTCAGCTTCCGCTTCATGAGTGCAACATCATCCGAAGGAGTTTCTGCATGCTTTACTGAAAGTATTTAAAGTATCTCCTACTTCTTTTTTTTTTTTTATCACATCTCCAGGTTGTCAACAATGAAGATTTAGTTGACCAGGAATATGAGGATGATTTTGAGGTACACAGCATTCTAATTATGAAATAGGCTACATTCTGTAGAAACGAATTCTGTTGTTTTTCAGCTTTCTTATGTTTACATTTTTGTTTACTTTTACATTTATTTACTTATCTTTGTGTTACTTTTGCATGCTGTAATCGATTTACATTTTAAGAAACTGGTGAGTATTCAGAGCTTTCACAAATGCATCCATTTTCATTCTTATAAGATGTGAAGTTTGAAAGGGGAGATGGATCTTGTTTCTCTATTCAAAGGACTATGAGGAAGATTTTGAGGAGCTGGATCAGAGTGAAAATGAGGGTGATGATGAGAAGGAGCCGGAGTTTCCACAAGTGGGAGAAGAAAGAGAGGAACCTATGACACAAAAGAGAAAGGAGATAGAAGCAATTCAGAGAGCAATGAATGAGGAGAATGAGAGAGTTGGAACAACTCAGTCCAGACAAAGTATGAGCAGAGGAGAGGAAGACACGCCTAAACGGTCCAGAGGTACGATTCTACTTTGTTCTTGTTCTTGTTCTTCCTGAGAGACATCTTTTATCCATATCTTGTGTCGTGTCTGATTGGAAGACACTTGCTCAACCCTGAGGGATTTTGTACAAAATCATAAGGGCTATGATATTTACTTGCTGCTCTCTTTATAGGATCTGAGAAGAACCAGAGTCGAGCCTCTTCACGTGGGAGGTTTATTGACTTTGTGGCAGCAAAACAGCGCGAAGTGAGCAAGAAAGTTGCCACAAAACAAAAGTAAGTTAACTTTAATGTTAAATGGAAAATGGATCATTGTAATGTGGCTGGATACCTCTGGAGGAATCAGTATTGTAAACCCTTTTTCTGACTTGGGGCACTATTACCAAGCCCATAGCAAAGCATACATTCAATTTTACCTTCAATCTCTTCTGTTTACAGGAAACGCAGCACAGAGCTCCTTCGCTTAATTGATCTGGATTTCTCAATGACATTCTCCCTTTTGGATCTGCCTCCCGTCAATGAATATGACATGTATATTAGAACCTTTGGAACTGCAAATACCAAACAGGTTTGGATTTATTCTGTTGTCTGTGTTTCTTTACACAGATACCTGTAACCAATATTCCATTAGGATTAGCCTATGTCTAAATAATATGTTAGAACATTTTCCCTGACAGGCTTATGTTCAGTGTAATGAGGATAATGCAGATCGAGACATTCAAACAGACGAGATAGAAGTGTGTGAGAAGTGGACGCAGCATCCTCCAGAGCACAATGGAGCCTGTGGAGGTGAGGAAACACCAAGACAATCCTCTGATTCACTCAGAGTTTACATGTAGAGTTCAATAAAGTTGTTTACCACGCTTTTACAGATCCAAACCTCTCTCAGGAAGCACGAGAAAAAAACATGAATGAGATGAACTTTGATTCCCAGCGTCTCACAGCATTCCTGCACTCAGCCTCACAGGTTTTCTTTTTACACATACACAACAATGCTGCAGTTCTTTATTCCCTGTATTAAGATTTATTTTGTGTGTCTGCTACACTTTACTGACTCCTGTTTTGTGTTGTGACCGAATCAAGGTCATGGTTGTCCTGTTGGAAGAGGTTCAAGCGGAGAGAAAATCCATGCAGAAGTTGAGGACTCAAACAGACACACTGTCTTTCAGCGATGGAAGTTTACAGCTCAACACTAAGTTGCCTTTTCTTTATGGTACACACTAAAACCAGAGAAGTCCCAAACCACTATATTCTCATCAGTACTGTATTTTATTAGTTGTAACTAGTGCTCCTTCCTGTTGTCAATTGCAGGTCGCCACATCAGCCTGGTGCACTTCTCTCAGGTCCAGAGACACACCATGATGTCAGTCCACACGCCTACAACTAAGCCCAGCGCTGTGCGTCTTGACAGCTTCACCATCATCTGCATCTGGAACATCTGGGAGCCATCCAGACCTCAGAAGATCCTTGTCTACGAATCTGAGGTGACATTTTCTTGTTCCTTTTTCGGTTGTAGCAAAGTTAAATCTAATAAATAAAATCACAATAGTTTTAAAGTTTAAAATCTACTTTTAGGGCAGTGTATAGATTTTAACACTTGACAATAATAGACAAGTTTTTATTTCCGCATTACCTTACTGGTAATGAGGAAATAAATACTTGTGTATTGTATTGACAGGAAATCTACATTTTGTTGAGGCACAAGAAAGTTTCCATTAAGTTTTAATTCAGCTATTGGAAAGTTAACAATTTCACCACAGTCACACTAAACATTATTCAGAAGGCCTTATTGCTCTGCTTGCCAACCAAAAATAATTGTTACAATCAAAATTGCTGTGTAATCCTCCATATTTCATGATATAATTATCCTAAAAAGGCCAGTCTTAAAAGACAATATGCACCGAAACCAGTGATAGTAACCCCTTCTCTGTCACAGGTGCAGTGTTGCTGTTTCAGCCCTGGAAAGGCCATATTGGTGTTTGCAGGCACATCAGTTGGCTCTGTGCTGCTGTGGGACCTGAGGGAGCATGCTGGTAATCACTACCGCCTGAAGATAGGGGAGGATGAGTGGACCTTCAGACAGCCTACCTTCTCCACCGGTATAATATATAATACCATCGATGTCTGTCTTCCTATCTGTTCCAGTATACTCAAATATTTGCCCTTATACAATGAAGGTGTTGATTTCCCAGAAAATATACCACGTCATTGGTCATATCGACATCCGCAACCTTACACCAAGCACGTGTTTTCTCGTCTGCCTTTATTTTGAGAATATAAAGCCCCTTGATCTTTCACTCAGTCATCTTTGTTGTTGTGTATTTTGCTCTTCGCACTGCAGTCCCAAGAAAAGGAATGTCAGCAGGCAATATATAGCAAAGATCCTTATTTACTGTGCATTGGTATTCAGGATTGTGTCTGCCCTTTCTCACACTTGAGGTTCAGAGTCTGTTTTCTTATGTAACAGCAGTGATGATTCAGTGTGTGCTGATATACTCTCTTTTGTCACCTTGTCAACGCAGATGCAGTAATGGCCGGCTCAGGCCATTTCTCATCTGTGACGTCTGTAGAAGTTGTCCCCACCACTGTAGCAGGGGGGCTGAGGCCAGATGTCCCCCTGTTGGCATCTGAGGAAGGTATGGAATGGTATAGCAATGGTTAACACATTGATTTAAGATCTTGCATATCATTTTATAAATGTGACATATGTTTTAGCCACTCTCAGTTGGCTTTATATTTCATTAAGTGTTACTCTGTTTCATAATCCAGAGTCATCAGGATTGTCATTCCAGTTGGCTTCTCTGGATGAAAGCGGGCTTTTAAATTTCTGGGTAGGTTGGCCAACGAAGTGGATGCTACACATTTTTCTCTACACCAGAGATTTTCAAACTGGCAGAAGAGTTTTACGGGTGGGCCCTGGGGGGTAGACGGGTGAACCAAAGATACTGCCTGAGGTGAAAGGGGCAGATGCATACAGAAACGAAAGTTAATTATTGTAGTTTGACCCACTGATTTGTGTCAAAATCTGCCCTCCTTCTCTGAGTCATAACTGAACACGCAGATGTGATACACACATTTTTAGATTCAGTGTGACATCACTCTGATGTTTTTATCTCAGATGTCCATTGCAAGTAATTTTTAAATTTTCTTGATAAAGGTAAGATGTATCACAAAATACCATAAATGAAGAATTGTGGTGTTACAGAGATGCCCCACGGCCTACAAATCATGTTCTCCAGATGTAAGGGAGCATGCTTGTTTGGTACAAGCCCCAGCAAAAAATACTGATATCACAATTGTAATATCTGCCAAAATAATTGCAACATGATTTTTTTTTTGCATATCGTTCAACCCTAGTATCAAAGTAATACACCAATAGTTGTCTGCATATGAAAGAGTTGCAAAAAGGAAAAGGTGAAGGCTAATTTTGCATGTTTGTGATTAGTGATACAGATAGCTCACCATAAACAACAAAGATATTCCATGATGGACTTGCATGATTTTCTGTCTGTGCCCTGTAGGTGGTAGTGGAACTCCCAAAAGCCAACGAGGCAGGCTCTCCAACAGATCTAGGTAACGCACTCAGGTTTTAAAGCATGTATCTTCTTTTTCCATGGACATACTCATCTTTCTCACACATGTGGTACTAGCCTCAACCTTTCTCTTTCACTCTTCCAGGGCTCAGGCCTGGGGGCAAAATAAAGTTGCTTCACAGCTCCTCCCTACACACTGCTGAGAGGTGAGATTGATAAATAGCTTGTGATGCATCCGTCACTGCCAGCCACTGGGCTCAAAATACTCCACAATGTCTTTGCCCAGTGGAACACAGCTGCTCTGTCGTAGTCATACGATCTTGTTTGTTATGTACTCTGGGCTGTTGTTTCTTCACCTCAACATTTCATGGCGACATACTGTATCTGCAGTGCTATACAGTCGGGTCCAGAAGTCTGAGACCACTTTCCCATTCACTTCACACTGTATGTGCAGAGTGAATGTGATGCAGTGTCGTATTCTAGTGTTGCACAATGTTGTAACCTTTGACCTCTGGTTTCGTAATTTTCCCCTCTCTTGCTCTGTCTGCCTCTCAGGGTATCGCCACGAGATGCAGTGAAAACGGGGCCATTACAGACTCTTCATTTAAAGTTTCTTCCAACTGACTCCAATCACTTCTTTATTGGCACCAATATGGTGAGCATAGTCTTGTCTGCCAATGAATAATGTATTTTCAAGTAAACCGTCCCAAAATATTCAGAAAATTATCGTCTGTTTAATATTGTGACAGTATACCAATGTCATTTCTGTCCTAGGGTCTGGTCAGTCATGGAACGAGTCATGGTTTGAAGGCTCCTCCAAAGTTTTACAGGTTTCAGGGGGCTGGAGTTCGACCTGTTGATGTCAGCTCAATCCACTTTTCTCCCTTCAGACAAAACTTGTTCTTGGTGAGAGTGCAGTTCTTGAAATTAAAGGAATAGTTCAGTATTTTGGGAAATACACTTCTTTCTTGTAAAGAGTTAGAGGGGAAGATTGATATTTTGTCTGTTCACTAAATATAAAGCTACAACCAGAAGCTACCTCAGCTTAGCATAAAAACTGGGAACAGGGGGAAACAACTAGCATGGCTCTGTCCAAAAAAATGAATGTGCCTTCTTTTCCTCTGCCCTTTTTCCAGGTGGGTTGTACGGATGGCAGCATCAGGCTGCATGCAGTCAGCCATGAGCAGCCTGTGGCAGAGTGGAAGAACAGTACAGCAGGTGAACCGGTGGTCTCACTGCAGTGGGCCCAAACCAGGCCGACAGTCTTCTGTGTTCTTGATGCAGTCTCTAACCTCCACATATGGGACCTGATGAAAAATGACACAGAGCCTGTGGTCACTGAGAGGATGTCTGCGGATAGGTAATACCAGACAGACATGACTGATGACTGTATGAGTAATTTTATATTCGTCATATTATGTGTCAATATCAGGTGTGTTTCCTGTTTTCAGAGTGACAGCCATGGCCGTGTTTGGAGACTCAGGACAACAAAACACATATTCAGGAATAGCCCTGGTGCATGAGTCAGGAAAAATAGAAATGCACTATTTCACAAGAAATTTTACCGTGCCCGTTCCTGCAGAAGAGGAGAAGTTGGAGAGTATGATGACTGAAGGCTTCTGAATTGCTGCATCTGAAATGGCTGCATTTAGACTGATATGTTTGTGTTAATTCTAATGATTTGCTGCATTTTTAAACTCCTGAAGAGCAAAGATCAATTTATAGATCTGTTTTCTGTTTATTTGTATAGTATATGTCATAATTAAATTTGATATGTGTTAGGTTTTTCTTCTGAAACTGATGACACATGGCTAAAATTTTCACATTAACATAGCAATAAGAGGAATGTTGCTGAATACCAAAGATCCTATATAGGGGCCACGGTTCATTTAATATCCTCCATAAAATGTTATAAGAAAACACATAATGTAAAAGTTTGTTGATGTAAATATTTATACTCTTTGACTGATGAAATATTTGTATGGTGGTAATGACTTTAATTTTTGTACAGTAAACTATGTAAATCTTTAGTAGTGTCATTTAATGCTATGACATGGTTTAATTTTTATGTAGTTCAAGTTCATAACACATTGTTTATTATCAAGTATTTTTTAAACCACCTGCCAAACCCAAGCTTAAGTACAATATGTTTAGCCAGGGCTATAGCCAAGACTTTTATATTAGTCCTTCCTGCCCCAGAAAAAAGACAGAACTTTTAATTATTTCAAAATTTTAACTTTAATTTATTTACAACTATTCAGTTATATTTTTTGTAAATTATAATTAAAGGAAATGCATTGTTTATTTCCTCTTAAAAGTTAACAACAGCTACAGCCTTTAATTACAGGGACACTTTTCTATTTCTTTCACAGAAAATTAAAAAAAATAGATTGAAACATATACCTCTTTTTCTGAGAGACTATTTTGCTGGTCGTGCGACATGCAGCCATGGATGTAGCCAGGCAACTCGTTACCTAGCAACGAGGACTGAGCTCTTAAAAAAACTGAAAAAACAAAGTAACTTTTAGCAGACTTATGCTAGTTCAGTTGCTAGTTGCTAGCTCAATTTTTACATCAAAAGTAACATCACATATTAGAGATTAAAGGCCACTGCTTCATCCGGAATACATAACTACAGGTTCGTGGAAGGTAAACGCAAACTTTAACTTAATTTATCCATCCTTAAGGTTGATAACTAACCCTGTAGATCTTCAGCTTTATAGAGGACCTAAAACAAAGTGAGAATATGTAGATAAATAGCCTAATGACTCATTTTCGTTTGCTCTTTTGTTTGTCTGACTTGAAACCATGTTGGGCTGCAGCTAAGAATTATTTTCATTATTGATTAGTAGTCAGATTATTTTCTAGATTAATCGATGCTGCTTGGTCTAAAACGTCAAACAACAGTGAAAAAGCAGTAAATTATAAATCAGCTGAGATCATTTGTGATTTGTTTTAATACTTTTAAAGAAAGTTTTAAAGCAGACAAGAAAAAAACCACTGAAACACCATCATACATTCACATAAAATTGATTGGATTTTTTTTTTCTTTACAAGTAAATGTCACATACTCACCACTGAAGAGATTTTTACTGTTAAAAGCAGAAGGTCATTGGATGTAGCAGAGTCCTGTGTAGAAACTGGTGGAGATGGTGGCCCGAGGAGACGGGAGCACAACAACAACGCTTGGAAAGCAGAATTTCTTCAAGCAGAATGTGAAGGAAGATACTGGCGAGGTAGGCTGTGTCTTTGAGTGATAGGTTGCTGACCTGTTATGTGCACTTTTAGATGCCTTACACACGCTTTACATGCCCTTGCTGTGTCTCTGTAGGTGATACACTCCGAGAGCAACAAGCATGAGTTCACTCACGGTCTTCATTGCATACAGCATTTCTCCTGTGACAGTCCTGTGCGTTTCATGATGTATTCTGAGGCTGCTGCAGCATTCATTAGCCTCCATTCAGACAACACAGTCTGGCTTTATGCAGCTGATGGCCACAAGCAGAGTTCCTCAGTACACCACTTTTTCATGGGCCTCACAGCAACAAAGATCTCTGGCTGTCTGGTAGGTTGGGGCCCAGGTCCCATCTTCACGCTTCTGGACCATGAGTTACGGCCCCTTGACGCTGCTCGTGATGCCCTGGACATACGTGTGTGTCAGCCTGCAGAGCACTCCACAGAGTTGGTGACTGCAGGTGTGGGGAATGTGTGTGTGTGGTCGGTGAGGCTCATGAGGTGTAAGGTGAAGATACAGGAGGGGCTGCAGAACAGTACTTTCAGTCACATGGCATTGGCACCCCCACGATCTGACAGGCCCCACAAGGCCTTCGTTGTGTGTGGGCGGGTCGTGACAGAGGTTGACTTGGACGTTGGAAAGGTTTTGGAGCACAAGAGCGATCTCTGCTCATGGTGTGTATGGCTGCATGTTCTATACACTCAGTAGCTACTTTATTAAGTACACCTGTACAGTCTAATGGAGTCCAATACAACAGTTTTCTACATTTATGATGGCTATAATGTTCATAGTAATTTTTACACTTACATGTCTGTAAATAGGGAAGACAGAAATATAATATAATCCAGTACACCATCTTTAACTGAGACTTCAGTAATGAACATATCATTGAATTTACACTTTTCTGAGCAGACATATTAAAATGCAATACATTTTCAAAGGTGTACCTAATGAAATGGTGGAGGGTGAAATCTTTTAGACTGAATTTGAATTGAATATGAATATAAATTTTGGCGCTTTAACATTAACAAGTCACGTTTTACAGCGATATCACTGCAATGGTGTACTGCTCTCAACTGGACTGTTTGATCATTGCATCCAAAGAGTCCATTAGAGTGTGGGATCCAGACTGGGAGCTACGTGTGGCTTTTGTAGGACATAATGGTAAATCTATGACTGAAGAACTCCATATTTCCATGCTCTATCTATTAATGATTGAACTACTTGTTGAATCATATCTGCTCTGTTTATTTCTGTGTCCAGATGTGGTGAATTCACTGTTCTACTGCTCTGAACTACACATGCTGTTATCAGCCTCTGTAGATTGTACAATCCGTTGCTGGAATGTGGAAGAGGGTGATGTGATTGAGTGTGTCCACACAGAACCGAAAACCCCTCTTTTGTGTGTGGGAGGCACTCGAAAGGGAGATGCGTTCTTTTCCTTCTCTCACCAAGGAGTGGACCTCTGGACCAGAAGAAACCTGTACAACCTCCACTGTAAACTCAAAGAGGATGAAGGAGCATCAGTGAGACAAATCTTAGTCTCACCCTTCCCTGCTCCTTACCCTAAAAGAGTGGTCTGTGTCAGCGGGGACAGTGATGTCACTCTGGTGGCTGCAGAAACAGGAGCAGTGTTGACTTCTTTCAAGGCAAAGCGGAGGATTTTGTGTGCTGACTACTGCCTGCACAAAGAGATTCTGTTGGCCCTAACTGAGGCAGGTACAGTGATCCAAGCCAACACGCTCACTAATCCAATCACTTTGATGAAGGAGTGGAAAGGGAGAGGCCAGGGGCCCTGGCAGCAGCAGGGCCATGTGACAGGGAATGATGCCCAGAATCTGCCCATCCCTGGCCTGCCTTGCTGCCTTGTACTCTACAGTTATGTTGCTGAAACCCAGACAGCTTTAGAGGAGTGGAGGAGTTTACAGGAGAGGAGAGGGTGCAGTTACAGGAACAAGGCAACTCTTAATGATGCCAAAAATAGGTGAGCATTTTCATTTCAAAGCAAATAATCTATGGTGTCAAATAGCAGCATATATGTGATCGTACTTCTGTGTTTGAGACAGGTTTTTGATCATACTTGGCCATAATGGAGGTTGTGTGACTGTTTTAACACTGGATTATGGGAAGGTCTTGTACAGGACGTCAGCACACAGTGGCCAAAAGGTCACTGCATTGCAAGTGTATCCTGAGGATGGCTGTCTTCTCTCCACAGGTATTTTCCAGTGTACCTTCATTGCCTTTTTATGCTTGTCAGTGATGATTTAACCACTTTACCCCAATCCTTTAGGTGAGGACTTGTCAGTGGTGGTGTGGAGGGTGAACCCCTACGCCCAGGAGTGTCTCAGCCAACAGCTGAGGCTGTACTGTGGCCAAACTCAAGTCTACATGGCAGCACTGGGGCCTCGGCTGGCTCTAACCTTTCAAGAGCCCAACAGTGGCACCTACAGTCTGATACACTTTAACCTGCTCAACCAGATCCAGACCAGTCAGCCACCCAGAGAAGGACATTTAGACCACTTCACAGGTCACAGAGAAAACATGTGTCCATAATAAATTGATTATTTGTTTGTTTGTTAATTGTTTGTGAATGTCTGTATGTGTGTGAGTGACTGGATGTTTGTTCAGTTTTCTTGCAGGTCTGTGCGTGTGTCCTGATCTGGAGGTGTTTGTTTCCAGCAGTTTAGATGGGACAGTGCATATCTGGAATGAGGAGAATCACCTCATCAGGTTAGAGTTCGTTACATTTCACTAATCCTTTGCATGTCAGATGAGAAAAGCATATAGTAATGCAGTAATGTATGTCTTTATGTATCTGTCACCCCACCAGGACACTCCAGCTCAACACGGTGCCTGAGTGTCTGGCTTACAGCGGGTCTGGAGGGGATCTGTTCCTGGGCATCAGAGGAGACCTGTACAGAATGAACTGTGCAAAGTTCATGCCACACAAATACCAACAAATGGTAACTAGTCAGCTCACACACCAGTGTGGCTGAAGGATGTGTGAATGATTGGGATATTTTTTTAACCAAAGCTGCAAAACATTTCTTTATTCCCATTTTTCTTTCACAGCTCTTTTACACTTATTGTGCTGAACGTCTTCCTGATATGCCTATCACTGAAGACAAAGAAAAGTGTATCAAAAGAAAGTAAGATGTATTCATATTATATTATAAAAAGAATAGAATCCAAAATAATGACCTAATAAGCTATGAACAATTTCGGTGCCAACAGGACTGATCACACTGCCGAAAACGTGGAAGAGGGATCAAAGGCAGTTGCCACCAATCAATTATTGACTGAAGACATGTGGAGACAGAGGGTGTGTGTGAAATGGTAGAATTTGAGACAGTGAATGTCAAAAGAACGCTGAAAAATAGGTGTCAGATATTTTTTCCATCTGTCTTGTTCCAGGGGTATGAGACATTACTGACCTTAAACAAGGACCTTTCTGCACTCCTACAAGGCACAGTGAAGTGCAAAAAAGAAAAACCTCCCAGTACAGTGCAAACCAGGAAAGAGGCTTTTGACCGCTACATGAAAATAATATATGGCCTACCCAACAATATTAAGGTTTCTACTTCTCCCACTTATTTTTCCTGCTTCTTTTCCGAATTTTCTAGAATATACTGACTTGGCAAAAAGAAAAATCACAAACAATCACTTTTCAGCTTCCCTTTAATAAGAAGCAACAGTCTGAAGCTAGTTCTATGTGTATCAGCTTAAAGATATTATAAGACACTTTTTTTTATTATAAGACGCAGCTTTCAGAAATAACGTTTTATTTGAATGTTTTGTGCATTTCATTCAGTACAAGGAACTGCTGTATCATCATTAATAGTGTTATGCTTGCATTTTCAGATTGATTTGGAGGACACCTCCGACTCAGATACATTTTCATTTTATCCTGAACCAAAAGACAACAAGCCCTGTAACCCTCCTCCCTTAAAAGAGGACGTCCGCCCTGAATCTAAATTGATCATCCCTGTGATTGTGGAGAAAAAGACGGTTAGCATGATGAGCAAATCCTTGCTCTTGTTCACCCTGGATTTATGTTTTAAATTACAGTAACTGAGGGAGTTAGAGATTTGCAGTAGAATTTACAGTTTTAATAGACTTTATTTGGTTTTCCTTGTTTACTAGCATGTGCAGTCTTGTATTGTCCAGAAATAAATGTGTGCAACTGCAGGAGAAAAAGGCTCCAGCAGCAAGCTCTAAACCAAAGACCCTGATGGAAGTCAAGCCTGTTGAGAGAGTCGCACCCAAGAAACCCGAGAAACCCAAGAAACCCGAGAAACCCAAGAAACCCAAGAAACCGATCATTGTGAAGAAGGATGAAGAGGTAAGAGCATATTACGCAGGACACAAGAACACATGGCATAAGAACAGCAGCTCTCATTTGTTTGTTACTTGTCCCCGTAGCCTCCAGAGATCATTCCTCCAGTAGAGAAACCCAAACCCAAATTTCGTGCTCCACCTCCTCCTCCTACTCGTCCTCGTCCACAGACCCCAACACCGCGTCCACCCACCCCTGAGTTGCCCACATTCCTCAAACAGTTTGAGGATGCAGGCTGGTTTAGAGACTTGATCCCTGATAAAAAGGTAGCCTATTACAAAGATCTCTGCGATGCACAATGCAAGTTGGTCCAAGTTTTGGTCGTAATGAGTGTGTGTTTGTGTGCAGAGTATCCCAAGCACCCTGTCTCCAGAGGACTTCTCCTTGCAACTGCTGGGCTATCTAAACACCTGCAGCACTCCGTCCAAAATGAAGATCCTCGCTGCACTGAAGGCCCTGCACAGCCAGGGACTCTTACAGAATACAGACAAGCTTTACCAAGGCCTCATTGACTCAGTGCCTAAATTTGTGAGACCACAAATGGTACTGTATGCCCAGTATCGAGATTGTCACTGCATTTTAAGAAGTGCGCTGTGAGGCTGTGACCAATTTTAATACGTGTTTTCCAGTCACCTTCGGAGCGGTCGGTGCTTGTTGAAATGTTGAATCTGTTGCTGCGTCTGAAATCTGCTGGTTACGACCTCGTGAAAAAGCTTCTCACTCTTCTGGCCTTTAAAAAACTGGTCCTCCGGTGAGTCCAAAATAACAAACTTTACTTACTTACCACTTTTCCTTTTCAGTTCAATATGTGTCAAATGTCATCTAAACTTTTTCAAATGACTGAAAGTTTTTATTGGCCTCTTGTTCTGTCAATAGGAAAACAGTGCTGCCCATGCTGATTACATTAGGTGTAGATGAGGCTGAGCAGTGGCTGTGGCCAGAGTTGGAGAGCTGGGGCTCGGAGCTGCAGGACAAATCTGACATCTGGAAGAGCCTCCATGACAGAGCAGATTGTTGGCTGGACTTATGGATCTCCAAATACAAAGTAACACAAACATATTTTATTCAACTCTTAATTTCTCTAACTTATATTTTGTTTTACATAAAGAAAAAAATATACATTTTTCCTAATCATTAACACCATTGGAGTATTTTTAAGTGTGACAAAAGGGCAGAACAGGTGTTTGAAAACTGAGAGGCTCCCCCTCCGTGAATCAGCTCTCCACTTGCTTCTAATGTCCTTTACTGTGACCTTAACTCCTCTAAATAGGAGTACATGCGAGCTTGTCACAGTGTTGTTGACTGACATGGCTGGTTTTGGCTCGCTACTGTAAGTGATTAACTGCTTTCCCTGTCTCTTCCCATGCCACCAGGATCACAACAGGTATCAGTGCCTCAGGAGTGTGGAAAAGTGGAATCTGCCATCCTCCAGCGTGATGGATGTGCTGAATTATTTCTGTTTCGTCCAAAAAGAGGAGCACAGAAAGGCTCAATGTGTTGCACCTGCTGGTCACAAAAACACTGTACTTGTGCCACTAAATGACTGGTATGTGGAGGTCATGCACATATACTAGTTTCATCTGATTATGGTAGATTGCTAAATATTTTTACTTTTCTGTCTGTGTAGCAGTTCTCAACCAATCATTCGCCTAGGAGAGACTTACAGCATGTCCAGGATACGCAAACCGCCAGGTAACGTTTCAGTCTTCTGCTTAAAATGTAACTGTTTGATTTTTAAAAATGTTTTTTTTTTTTATGCCTGTGTTCTTATCAAACAGGAATAATTCTACCTCCCCTGCGTAACCGTCCTTTCCTGATGCACTGTCCCAATTTCATCTCTTTCCCAATATCTCGGGTCACCTTGAGCCCCTTCCACACCTACTCAGACGAGGACTGGCATAAGATCTTACCTCGCCGCTACTTCATTCTTGAGCAGTCGTACGTAGACTATTACAGATGATGCCTCTTAGTCTGTAACATTGCCATTAACACCCGGTAGGACATGTAACAAACATTATTTTGAAAAGATGTTCATCATTTTCAATAATTAAATGACTCTTGGAACTGCTTTGACGGATTTATTCTGCAGCTTACTGTATGTAAATGCATTCATGTGGTACAAAGGTGATTTGGTTCATTCATTTCCTGATAACGCTGATACTTTTTGAATATACAATCATGACTGAATACAAAAAGCACAATCTTGAAGATTTGAAAACAGGTATTGTAGGAACGATTGTATGACAAATATGTAGAATAAAACAGGACAAATGTAAGAGTACATTACTTAATAAAAAAAAGTTATTGGTACAAAAATTCAAATAAACCTAAATATATTGCAGATACATTAATTTCCCATTTAAGGAAAGTTATTCAAACACTTAGGAAACACATACTATAAAGTTGGCCACTTCAGCATTGGTTGTTGATTTGCAGCATGCACATGTAGTGGGTGAGCTGATCAGATATTTGGATCTGCGCCTTATATAAAGAAAGTGACTGATGTAAAGGCACAGGGACACATAGGCTGTACAAGTGGACCAGGCAGATGTTAATCTTTGTATCAAAAAGCATCCTGGTTACCTGATTATAGAGTAAGAATTCATTTTTGGTACGAAACCAGCAACAATGCAGTCAACCAGTGAACTTGTTCGTAGTATAGCACCTTTTAACTGAATCATGTTATAGTTCCTCACCTCCAGCTGTACATTTGTCAAACAAATCTTTAAAACTGTACATTCCTACATCCCAGGGAGAACAAGCCTCATCCCTAGCTCTGCCATAAGGCCAATATTTACATTTTCAAAATTAGTGTTTTCTTCTGATTGATCTGATGATCACATTCATGATGCCAACAAAAACAAACTTGTTGGTTTGGTGATTACTGGGCCTTTGAAGAGTTTGGTATTCTTTTCATTACCGTTTTGCTACCTGCAGTTATTTGTCTGTTTAAAAAAAAAGCATAAATGAATAGTTAAACCCTTCACATAACACTCATGGTCATAGAGAAAAGATAAGAAACCGATAAAAGAATATTACATCATATTTAGCATGACAATTTGATGGTACATTGCTTTTGGATGTTAGTGAGTGAACTTAAAAGCACCAGTGTTCTTCACCTGACTTCTGCTCTAGTCCACCAAATCTTTATCATAATTGAGCAGGTCGCAGGTCAGGAAGAGGTCAGAGCGTCCGCTTTCTATTAACACCCTGTTGAGCTGGCTGCTGGTCATGTTGATGTTTGTGGTTTCATCCAGAGGCCAGTCTAAGAGCTGAGCGCTGGAGGGCAGGTCAGGAAGGCCTGGCTGGTAGTCCTCAAGGGGGTTGGGGTACAGTAACTGACGGAGGGATGGCATTCGCACAGCCATCCTCACCAGGTCAGTGAGGCCAGACATGGAGAGTGGGTTCAGGGCCAAAGCCAAACTCTTGAGGGCCCAGCAGCCTCCGAGGGAGGGCAGCAGGAGCCCCAGCAGGCTGTCAGTAAGGCCACAGCCGCTTAAAGAGAGGTGCTGCAGGCTGCCGGAAGCCTGGGAGAGGAAACGGCGAATAGAGGGCAGGGTGTTTTCATCCAGACGGTTCTCACTTAGATCAAGCTGCTGCAGTGTGGAAGCATGGTGGCTGCAGGACAGATAGGCAAGGTCAGCTGGACTCAGGCTCAAATATGGCAGCTCCAGGATCTCCAGAGGTTGAGGCAGTGAACTGTAACAAAAGAGGGAAGGACAAAACACTTACTACAGTCAAAGTCAAAGTAGTACAACATAGTAGTTTAGTTGGAGAGAGTATGGGGGAAGTGAACAACAGAATCTGTTTTGATTTTAATTAATTGATTAATCACATATCAAAACAGTTGCTGATTATTTTTTGTCAGATTTATTTATAACAAACTTAGTAATCGTTTCAACTCCATTAAAGATCATTATGTTGCATTTCAATTTCATAAATCTAAGTTGGACAAATATAAAATACTGTACAATAATTACTTTGCAATCTGAGAATCTGTTAAATCTTGTCGGATACTATTCTGAGAGGAAAAAATATAATTTGATAATATGTGAGAAGTCTTAAGTTACAGAGCAGTGGTCATGTTAAACAGGAATCCATGCCAAACCTGAGCAGCACCCGAAGTTGTCCTGGCAGGCGCAGTGCAGTGAGGCTGAGGCGTCGCAGCTCCTGTAACTGTGCCAAACCTTGTGACATGTCCCTCAGTGCCTCCTCATGTCCAGGGTGGTCTCGGCGAAAGTCCAAGTTACAGTAGTGCAGCCGAAGGGAGTTCAGTGCAGGGAAGGTGGAGAGCAAAGGCAGCAGCTCAGCAAAGCCAGCCACCCCAAGGCTGCTGTAGCGAACATCGATGCCCAGGAGACCCTGGTGAGGCAGGAGGTCTAGCAGAGTCCTGATACTTGACACAGAGATTTCCTCCACACGAAGGTACCTGCACTGAAGCTTGAGAGGTCCTGATGTGCTGAGAGCCACACGAACACGCTCCCAAGATCGAGCATTGACAAAGAGATCAGCTCTCACATGCACCAACACATCACTTCCTCTTTCCTCATTTTCCTTTTTGCTGCCTGCTAAACCTGCCAGTGTGCTGTCTCTTTTCCTCTCTATCTCCATCCTCCTCCTGACTCCCTTAATCATTTCCTCTTCACCCAAATCTTCCATTAATTCCACCCTCTCTCTGTCATTGCTCGCCTCATCACCATTGGGTTCTTTTCCCCTCTTCCACTGCCCCCTTTCCCTTTTTATATCCTTCTCTCTCTCCAGGTCTGAGAACCTTTTTCTCTCCCGCTCTCCTTCTCTCCTCAGTGCCCTCTGTGCTCCAGCTCTCGCCTGAACAACCATGGTGCAGAGAGCTACAGTCAGAGACCAGCCCCCCATTGGGTCTCCCATCCCTCCTTCATCTCCTTGGAGCCCACAGAGGTCCAGTATTTGCAGGGCACATCTAAGAAACAGGAATTGGTCAGATATATTACTTTCTTATTACATATGCAATTTTGTAACTAAACATGGGGTACATGAGTCTTAGAGAAGTCAAATAAGTGTACATTTAAAAATAATACTTATTTAATTTATTTATTGTTTTTTCTACAACTTTTACTTTGTGCATTGCTCACTGCTGCAAGAGTGCAGATCATGATCCAAACACTCTGGACACAATAATGACATACTCACCTTTGGTCCGAGAGTCCTCTGACAACAGCAAGTAATAAAGCCTGAATGCAGAGTCGATTTGGCGCGGTTTGCCCTTGTTTCCTTCGTCCTCCTACACGCAGGGTGCGTTCAGGCCATCTCTGCACCAGCTCACCCACAGCCAGCGGTCTGTAGCTGGTGAAGGCGGCCTCCAGCAGCGGTCTGAAGAGCTCCCTGGGCACCCACCTTAACCAGCAAGGCGAAGAGCTGTGGTCACTCACCACCCCCCTGGCACAAAGGCTCACCAACGAAAACACCATTTCAGCGCACAGCAAGGTAAGCTTTTACCATTAAAAATATATAGCAGCCGAAATAATTCTGCGTCTTGTCCTCTGCAAAGGAACAGAGTAAGCTATCTGAAACTAGCTTAAAGACTAAGATTAGCTTTATGACAGCAATTTGACGCGGTCTTGTTAATCCCTAAAAAAGAATTTATAACACCACCTGATAGCGGATTATTAACAGTAATAACCTATGAAGCGACGACTGGAAGCCTTTCACGAGTGAAATATAAAACGCTGGCACATCATGTTAGCTAACTCGACAAACTATCAGTGAGGAAGCTGCAGCTGGAACAGGAGTGTTTACAATTTAGACTGACGCACGCCTGTGACGAAGCACGTAAAGGCATGACGTCATGACGGTATTAAGTGAAGCACAGTTGCTCTTTTTGCACTTTTAAATTATATTTGCGCTCTTTTATTTTTGATTTTGTGCAGTTATATTTCATAAAGGCTTTAATATGTAGTTTTATTGTCACCCACTACTGTTCAATTAATAGTCTGTACATATTGGGTTTTACTATAGGCTACTGAACACCAGGTGCTATATCTCTAAACGAGACACCTATTTAAGGAAGTGATACTAGGAAATGTTTTTGACTTATGTAAAAACCCAAATGTGGGGTTCAACTTTAGTAAGGCTATCAGTCATGTTGATGAGGTACTGTCAGTGCTGCCAAGTTTAGCCCTAGACACTTAACCTTCAGTAAGCTTCAGCATTGATGTACATCAACAGAAAACAGTTGGACTCTTCATCGACTTCTGTTTTAGTTCTGTTTATCCTGCCATAGGCAATATTACAAGAATTAATCGTTTTTTGGGGGGGTTTAGTAGAAATATTGTATTGTAATATTTTATTGTATAATAATAATGTAGTAATAACTACTGAGTACTCATGGGTCAAAACAACATGTGTGTCAGGCTTCGTGGCCGGTGTGCATTGCAAGATGATCTCCAGTTTAATTTCTATTAACTGACTCAGTGGGAGAAGAGAAAAGACTTAATCACACTAGAGATTGGAATATGGAAAAAGCAGAGAAGAACCTTCTTAGCCTCAGGGCATCTGTGGCTGGTATTCAGTGCTGCTCTACCTCCACCTGTCCAGAAGGCAGCCCCATGCATGCTCCCACTCTCCGTGCAGTGAACACAGTATGTCCAAGTTCTAACCAGTGGGACAATGAGTCTGATTATTCACTATGACTGACTGAGGAACAAGCTCTGAAGCCAATAGATGGTAGCATTACATAGGGAATAGAATAGATTTTCTGTTATTTAACTCTCTCAGACCACAGGTTGCTGGAGACAATCCCAGCATGCATTTGGCACTGGGTAGAGGGACACACTAGACAGTAGTCTAAGAAAAAGGGGAACTGGCTTGTACCCAAACAGAAATTCACATTGACTTGCAAATCTGTGTAAACAATGTACTTTAAACAACAAATCCCACCTCAAAACACAACACTTCAAACTTGCCAATTCTGTTTGAATCCAGCGCTAGCATTCCATACAATCATATTTATTTTATGCAATTATATTTATTCTAACTTAATTTGTATTTTATGTCTTATTGGATACTGTCTGTTGCTATACTGAATATCTAATTTATGTTGTAAGCTGTCCTTTAGTGCCCTGAAAGGTGCCTGTAGATGCTTTGGTTTATATACATACCCAACCCTCCCTGAAGAGCAGTATTGCTACTGAATGAATTGCTCTGGTGAAATAAACTAATAGGCAAAGACGCTATGAGGAAGAATAGAAATATGTTGCATGACATGCGCACGATGTGGTTTGCATGTCTAAAATGAGTGTAAGAGGACAAACCACCAGATGGAGCTAAAGGATCACACCGTCTGACGGTACTCTGCAGCTGCCCCCCTGCCTGTCAACAAAAACAGACACAAACATGTAAACGAACATTCACAGCCAACCTAATATTCCTTGTTGAAAATAACAGATAAGACAGATGTTTGTAATTACACATGAAGCAGGTGTTGTACTTCTCTGTTGTTCAGCAGGTCAAGTTCGTGAGTCATTGACATTAGAAGTGTTTCTTTGTTTGTGACCAGTGAGTCTAATGATGATAATGATGAATATTATGTTAATAGGTGGATTCATATCACGGGAGGGATTTTGCGCTGCTCACTCAGGCTTTACATTTCTGCTTTAGCTATAATTGATGCTTGGCTTGTGTATGTAATCGCTTTTCTTTATTTAGAGAGGCTGAAGGACTAATTTCAAAGCGGGTGTAGGCATTGCTATTAATACTCCCACATGTCTCATTGACACACACACACACACACACACACACACACACACACACACACACACACACAAACACAACACGAATAAACATGCTCTCAGTTAATTTATTGCTGCAGTCCTTTCAGATGACCTGCAGGGATCTTTGTCCATCCCATTACTGCTTCCTTTGATATAAAACAGTTTAATACCACTTCATTCATCATGTAAACCTTGTGAAAGCTATGCAGGGACAGCAAAGAATCCTCCTGTTTTGATTATATTGTATGAAATACTTGGTTTTACTTCAAATCAGACCATTCTGACTGGAATTTATGAATGTTTATCCCAACATAAATGGATTTTTATGTATTCATTTAATTTTGATGGGTTGATGAGTGTGTGTGTGTGTGTGTGTGTGTGTGTGTGTGTGTGTGTGTGTGTGTGTGTGATAACTATGTGCAAAATTATACAGCTTTTTTTAATATTCATTAAAGATGAAAGTGGAATTGGCGGAGTATCTTTACTTAAGGTTCCAGAAATGACCATTATTATAGCCATTGTAATACCCATGGGTATAATAATGGTCATTTCTGTATTTTGCCACCTTCATCAAATGTGCAAGCCCAGTTTGTGGGGAAGGGGAGGGTTACTTCAACACCTTTCTGCCCATTGGGGTTTAATAAGAAAAGAAAACATTTGAAGCAGAAATCCAAGGTTCAATGTAATCTTTATTATCCCAGAGTGCAATTTGTTGCACAGCCAGCAGTAAACAGATACAGCAAATAACATAATCACACGCACTAACCTACACTCAAGCAATTTACACTAAAGACAAAGACGGTACCAGGGACAAATGAGTTTTTGAGTCTGTTGCTCCTGCATCTAGACATAATATATCTCTTGATTTTTCCAAGTTCCAGTTGATTTTGCAGTTATTATCGTTTTCACACGTACGGCAGCGGAGCCTGGGTGACCCCAAACAATGAAGAAGTAAAGTGGATTTTCAAACCACCATGAGGGTTAACCCTGCGCAGACGATGGCTCTGTTCTATTCAAGTGTCCCAGCAAGCCACGGCTGTGTGACGGCGAGGCTGAATGCACCAACACCAGCACCCTGAAACTCAAGCAGCTAAATGGAGCTCGGCTTTAATCAATGAAAAAGTCTTTTATTATTTCGATTAATTCCAATGGCATTATGTGGCTTCACTGATTCCGTAGTGCAGTTGATTCCCTTCTATTCGAGATCTATTATGTGCGTATGCCTTGTTATTTTCAAAGGTGCCGAATGTTAACTGGGAAGCTTATTAAACAAGATAAGTTTTTGGATTGCTTTTCCCTTCATACAGGCCGGATCTGTCAGAATTTAATACATTTTGAATTGAGACCAGACCGATTTGTTGTACTAAAATTGGTGAAATAAACACCATATGCTGAACAGACTGGCTGAATGGAAGCCTCGGGCAGTCGTACAATAAAACAGTGAAGGCAGAAAAACACCTTTTTTTGTTCTTGTGCTAGTTTTACATTGTTGTACATTAGGAAAGAAAATAACTTTGCCTGTCTGCAGTCCAAAAATGCCTCCCAGAAATCTGTACATAAGATTTGAGACTTTTTAAAAAAAAAAAAAAACACACTACACCTGGCCATTACAGACTGAAAACAACTCCATACATGGTATCATCCTCCTGTAGCCTTTACTGAATCTAACCTGTATTTTAGCATTAATTGTTCAAAGGTTTGTTACTAGAGAGAGATGATTTGCCGGCAACCCTCGGCGCCTTGTGGCCTTTTCCTCTGCGTTTAGCATTTGACTTCACTCCTATTCTTTTGTGACGCTGACTGAACATATTTTGATCCTTGCAGCTTTTGTTACTAATCTTCTTTAATTCAATTTGACGTGCGCTTCCTCCTGCAGTCTTTAAATCCTCAAATAGAAATATTGGGGATTGGGGATCCAGTATCTCCCTGATTCCACACCAGTCGGTCAAAATCAGAATAGTACATTGCTGTTGTTCACTTGACCACTACTCTCTGCTCAGAGATGATTACAGCGCTTGGGCCGCTGATAAATTCACTCTAAAAAAAAAAAAAAAAAATCAATTTCCTAGATGTGTTGTGCAGCCAATGCTCTCATGACACTTTCCCTGTCATATAAGTCTCACTTTTAAGCCTGTCTTCTTATACATTCATCAGTTTGATTTGCATTTTACAAGGAAGCTTCACCGCTGGTCCATGACCTCCCCAACCTCCTACACATCCATCACACATATACCCTACATAGGATGGTTTTTCATCAGATATACAAGATATCACCTTTATGTTAAGCTTCCAAACATTCACACAAAGCACTTGCAAAAACCGATATCAAATATATTATATAGCTGTATGGTAAGTATAGTTACAAGCTCTTCAGTTGCGGACCAGTAAACTAGCTTTCCGCTTGCTTGAAATTACTTTATGCTGTTGAAGCCAAATTTCCCATCTGTTCACCTTTTGTTTTCAGCTTTTATCCGTGTGTAATATTTCACTTGCAGTCCAGGAAAAATGCCAGATATTTTCCATTTAGTCCTCAGAAATAGCAGCGCTAATGGTCCAGGGAAGCAAGAGTTTAACCTTTCAGTTTCCAAACAGAATTAATGCTGATTATTCACTCATAAAATAAATGTTACGTTTTTCTTTTTTTTCAATGCAAAATACTAATTTCTTTAAAAGCTGTAACGATGGCTTAAAATGGATGAAAGATTTCATGTTACATTTCAAGTTATCTTTGCTTGGCTGTAATGAAATGTCAAGTCACACATTTCACAGGTAATTGCGCCAAATGTCACTTTCTTCACCTACTGAAATGAAATTCAAGGTTCACTTCAAATCTCATGCAGCCACTTTTAGACTTCTGTTAGAATAATGCTATTAAATGACTACTGTCTTGTTGCACACACATTATAATTCTGTATTGTGTTGTACATGACTGCAGAATTATAGCCTGTAACTCGCTCTAGTGGCTGTAGATATGGGAGTCAGATATTACAGTAAATTTACAG